TTCCTCCCCCCTCCTGTGCCTCTGCCCTGGCCCCTAACCCCCCAGGTGTCCTGCTCCCTGCTCCCCTCCCCTGCAGGGCTCATCACCAGCAGCCAGTCGGCAGCCTACGCCATCAGCAAGTTTGTGAGCGGGGTGCTGTCTGACCAGATGAGTGCTCGTTGGCTCTTTTCTTCCGGGCTTCTCCTGGTTGGCCTGGTCAACGTAGTCTTTTCCTGGAGCTCCGCAGTACCCGTCTTTGCTGCTCTCTGGTTCCTCAATGGCCTGGCACAGGGGCTGGGCTGGCCCCCATGTGGCAAGGTCCTGCGGAAGGTGAGTGTCCGCTTCCAAGGAGCTGGTTCAGATTGGCAGAGAGGACACCTAAAGAGCATGTGGGCACACTGGCACCTCCACCCCCAACCAGAGCAGGTTCCTCAGGCATTCCAGTCCAGCTCCTGTTGCTTGTCAAGATATTTTAGGAGGCTGAACGTGGTGGGATCAGGTGGCAGATGAGGGAATTGGCTCTGCCAAGTAGAAGAGCCCTCTCCCTCATCCCTGTAATGTGAGCTTCTGGGTCTGCTCCACCTGACCCTCACCTTCAATATGGACTGTAGGCTGAGCAACTACTCTGTCCCCCTCTGCCCCACAGTGGTTTGAGCCATCTCAATTTGGCACTTGGTGGGCCGTCCTATCAACAAGCATGAACCTGGCTGGAGGGCTGGGCCCCATCCTGGCAACCATCCTCGCCCAGAGCTATAGCTGGCGCAGCACGCTGGCCCTGTCTGGGGCACTGTGTGTGGTTGTCTCCTTCCTCTGTCTCCTGCTCATCCACAATGAACCTGCTGATGTTGGACTCCGCAACCTGGACCCCACCCCCTCCAAGGGCAAGAAGGGTGAGTACGCACTAAAGCCGACCCCTACGGAACCTTCATTCATCATTCACCTGGCAGACTTTCATTGAGGACTGCCTGTATGCCTGGCCCTGTACTAGCTAATGGATGTCGGGATGGTGATGGAGAGTGGGTGAGGAGTAAATAAAACTCCATCCTGAGAGGCAGTTAAGTACCAGACAAGTGGCAGAGCCAACAAATGCTATGACTCATGTTATCGCCTAGTCCTTCCTTACAAGAGAGCCAGAGTTCCCTGTGTGGACAGCATCCTAAGCTTAAGTGACTTGGGTGCTTTCCTCCATCCCCGCTGGTCCTCAGGTTCTCTTTCATTCGTTGAGACTTGCAGTGGAGAAGAGGGCAGAACAGTGGGTGAGGGGGACCTTCCTGCTGATCCTTGGCTATGTGGACGGACTCTGCCCCTATGGCTAGTTAATGTGTGGTGGGGGCAGGGCAGCCTGAGCAGAGTCCTGAAGCCTGGCCTCCTCCCACCCCCAGGCTCCCTGAAGGAGGAGAGTACCTTACAGCAGCTGCTGCTGACCCCCTACCTGTGGGTGCTCTCCACTGGCTACCTTGTGGTGTTTGGAGTAAAGACGTGCTGTACTGACTGGGGCCAGTTCTTCCTTATCCAGGAGAGAGGACAGTCAGCCCTCGTGGGTGAGACGAGTGTTGGGATGCGGCAGGCCTAGGGAGCAGGAGCCAATGCATGGGATGGGAAATTCAGACCCGCTTCCCTTTATCCTTTCTTCTTTCCCTGAGGCCGGGCAGTACTCAGGCAGCTGTGGCCAGTCACCCTTGGGGACCTTGTACCTCTCTGGGTTGAAGTCAGTCTGGGACAACCCCAAGGTGTAACACCTTTCCACCCTTCCTTTCCCTCTTCCCACCACAACTCCCCACTGCAGGCAGCTCCTACATGAGTGCCCTGGAGGTTGGGGGCCTTGTAGGCAGCATCGCAGCTGGCTACCTGTCAGACCGGGCCATGGCCAAGGTGAGTGGGCAGAAGGGACAGGAAGGAGGAGGGTCCCTTTAAATCTTCCCAGCATGACTGGGACAGGCACCAGAGAGGTAGGAGCCCTGGGGCACAGGCAGCTTGGCATATGCTGGTTTAGGTTGGGTGAGGTGGGAATGATTCCAGGCTACTCTTCTTTGCTGGGGATGTGGAGATGAGGCTCTTGGGGGAAAGGGTTTTAACTGATGTCAAGAAGAGCCAGAGTTTCTCTCCGCCTAGCTTCTCCACAGCCCCAGGGAAACTGGGGCTGGGGAAGGACTGGATGCAGCCTGCCACCACGTGTCCCCAAGCCTGCCCCAAGTGGAGGAAGGGATGTTGTGGAGTTTGGCCTCAGAACATAATAAGCAGGTCCCAGGACCTCCCAGAGCTGCCTTGGGCCAAGAACTGCAACGGGATTGCCAAAGACCTGTCAGCAGAGGTCTGCCGTGTCAGCGTCCAGGGGTGAGGGTTCTCTGCTGCTCCTGGGGCCTGATGTTGCCCGACTGTGTCCACAGGCGCGGCTGTCCATGTACGGGAGCCCCCGCCATGGCTTGCTGCTGTTCATGATGGCTGGCATGACAGCGTCCATGTACCTCTTCCGGGTAACTGTGACCAGTGACTCCCCCAAGGTAAATAAACAGGGACTGGCCCACGTCAGGGACAAGGATGAGAAAGCAAGGGCCACTGACTCTGTCTCCCTCTCCCTGGTCTTTCTCTGCTTCTGATTGCCCTTTTCAGTTGTCTGTACCTCCATTCCCCTCCTCTGTACTCTGATGCCCCTCCTTGACTCTGGGCCTGGTTTCTTCTCCTCCCTATGCTCCTCTAGGATGTTGCTTTCTGGACTCTGGCTCTTCACCCTCTCGCTGAGCTCACAGGCTTTACAGAGCATGAGGTGCCCTATCTTTATCTCTGGTTTTCCTCTTGTTGTGTCTCACCTTTGTCCTACCGCCTCTGCCTTGCCCTTAGCCAATCCAGCTTGCACAAATCCTGAGGAGACAGCATCTCACTTGGAGGGATGGCTCCTGAACCTCCCTCCCCTACCTGCACAGGCCCCTGTGTTGGCTGAATGTGGCCTGCACTCCTCTAGCTCTGCAGTCAGCTGTGCTGGGAAGTGGTGTGTGTGGGAGTCACTTACTGTCTGCTTTTACTACAATTATTTGTTCCTGGGGCCAAGCATTCCTCTATCCAGTGGCAGGGGTAGGTAGGCAGGAGGCCTTCTCAGACTTTAAATGCTACCCTGCACTGCCCTTGCAGCTCTGGATCCTGGTGTTGGGAGCTGTGTTTGGTTTCTCCTCTTATGGTCCCATTGCCTTGTTCGGAGTTATAGCCAATGAGAGTGCCCCTCCCAACTTGTGTGGCACCTCCCATGCCATTGTAGGACTCATGGCCAATGGTAAGTGATACCCCCACTGATGCCTCGCACACAAGCCAGCTAGGGGCTGGAACAAGCCCCACTGGCTCTATCCTCACAGTGACTCAGGCTCTTCCCCTCCTCCCTGACAGTGGGCGGCTTTCTGGCTGGGTTGCCCTTCAGCACCATTGCGAAGCATTACAGCTGGAGCACAGCGTTCTGGGTGGCTGAAGTGATCTGTGCAGCCAGCACAGGTGCCTTCTTCCTTCTACGAAACATCCGCACCAAGATGGGCCGAGTGCCCAAGAAGGCTGAGTGAAGACAGTGCAGGCTCTGGAGCATCCTGTCCCACTTGTGGCCTCTCCCCTCCATGGGGGTGGGGGAAGGGAGGGAGGGGACTATCTGACTAGCACCTTTGACTTTCCCTTTCTGCTCCTTTTCCCTCACCCAAGTGGCGCTGGAAGTTATCAGTGGCTAATGAGGCACCAGCTTCCCATCTGATCTCTATTTAAAAGACAACCTTTGTTCTTGGACTCCGTTAGCTCCTATTTCCTGGCTTCAAAGAGGAAACCCCTGCACTCAGGGAGTCTCCTGTATCCTTCTCCCTCTCTTGGGCCCTGCCCTGTCCCCATCCCACCCCATCCTCACCTGAGGTGAGGCTCCTCCTGCAGCAGCAGGGCAGCAATGGCCCAGGACTTCTGCCCTGAGGCCTCTCAGCAGGGGGCAGCTGCTCCTGCCAATACCTTGGACTCCAGGGGAAGAGGGTCACTCTCACCAATACCCAGGATACAGTAGGGGGGTATGGATGGGAGAGTAGAAAGACTTGTTATAGAAAATTAAAACTAGATTTGATACTAAACCCTGTCAGTGAGTCATTCTTTCAAAAAGGGTAGTACAGGGACTTCCCTGGTGGCGCAGTGGTTAAGACTCCGTGCTCCCAATGCAGGGGGCCCGGGTTCGATCCCTGGCCAAGGAACTAGATCCCATATGCATGCTGCAACTAGGAGTTTGCATGCCACAACTAAGGAGCCCGCCTGCTGCAACTAAGACCTGGCGCAACCAAATAGAGAAATAAATAAATAAAATAAATATTTTAAAAAAAACAGAGTACTTCTCAAAAAAAAAAAAGTGGAGGTAATACAAGCCAGAGATAGATTTTTTGGGGAAATACTCCCTTAATACCTGCTTTTTCCAACCCAGAAGAGAGAGACTTCATTCCCCCGGAAGGGAAAGCTAAAGTGTAGATGGACTCCTTTAAGCTCATGTCTCTACCACCTTCAACTTCATACTGCATAATTCAATGAACATTTTGAAGATGAAACTACTGGGTGCCAGGCAGGTTAAGTAATTTGATGGAGGGAGATAACAGTGTAGTCAGAAAGCCTGGGTTCAAACTCAGTCTGCTGGTAACTAGCTTTGAGATTTTGAGGCAGAGAGTTTGTACATTGCTTGCTGAAGCTCATCCGTAATAGAAACAGAATGTAACCCCCTGAGGTAAGGGAGAGGATGAAGTGAGATAAAGCAGTAAAACGTGGCTGTAAGCACTTGATAAATATTCCATCACCATTTTCATTATCATCATCACCACCATACCCACCACCTAGGAAGTCAGTAGCGATTCTGGAACTAGGACCAAGGCTCCTGATTCAAAGTCCCATGTTCATTCATTCACTTAATGAACATATATTTGTTTTGTTTTCTACTAGAACATAGTATCTCATTTTCCCAGAATTCCCTTATCATTCCTGTCTCCCCTCCTGAGGCTTTTCCCCCAAACCATCAATTAGGATAGCAAACACTGAGATCAAAGGAATGTTTATTATAGCATTTATGGGCCTACCTCCTCCATAAATAATCTGTACAGAGTTGGGAAGTAGGACCATGACAGATACAGGAGGAAAGAGAGCATGGTATTAAGGCTCGGGCATCGGTACATGTCATCAGGCTCAGCAACCTCCCATTTTCAAGTGCACTAACAAATGCCGCTGGGCTCGCCATCGGAGTGGAAACAGCAGGACCCCTGTTGCAGGATCTCTCAAGAATATGCGGGGAGTGGGGGGGGGGTCCACTGCAGGTTCAGTCTAAGATCCAGGTCCAAAAGTTCCAGCCTTCTCTGCCACCTCCAGGGCTAACTTCAGGTTCTGGTCAAACAGCTCACACCTAGGTCAGACCCAGGAAGCACAAATAAGGACAAAGTGTGAGGCCTGGCTCTCTCCCCACCTTGGGTGCAGAGGCAGAGCCAGTAGAAACTCTGCTTGAAGAAAGACATAAACCCCAAGGAAAGTCTTTGGTTTCTCCAAAAAATAAGTAAGTAAAAGGCTAGTTACTTTTGTTTTATTTAAAAATAACTCTAGGGCTTCCCTGGTGGCGCAGTGGTTGAGAGTCTGCCTGCCGATGCAGGGGACACCAGTTCGTGCCCCGGTCTGGGAGGATCCCACATGCCGCGGAGCAGCTGGGCCTGCGAGCCATGGCCACTGAGCCTGCGCGTCCGGAGCCTGTGCTCTGCAGCGGGAGAGGCCACAACAGTGAGAGGCCCGTGTACCGCAAAAAAAAACCAAAAAACAACCTCTATTACACTTCAAAATGACATTGGGGAAAAGCACACAGGGAGGGGGAACAAGGAGGCTTTGACCAGAATCTAGGAAGTGGGACCACATACCTGATGGGCATTTCCAGGGAGTAAAATGGATTCTTCAGGGCAAAGTCTGAGTAAATCTCATAAATCTTTCGGAGAAGAGAATCTATCCCAGCCTGCCTAGGATCCGCCAGCACCACAAACTTTATCCCTGGAGAGGGACCAGTAATGATTACCAAAGGGTAGAGAATGCAGCAAATAATGCTGTCCTTTGTTTGTACAGCACTTTCATATGCCCACTTAAATGTTATCCTTATTGCTACATAAAGCACAAAAAGCAAGATTTTGAATCTACAGGTGAGAGCAGAGAAGTGAAATGACTTTGTTGCATCACCCAGCTGACTGAGTGACCAGGCTTTGGGTCCTAGCTCTGTCGCTTACTTCTGGCCTGGGGGCCCCTCAGCAGAAAGTGCCAGGCAAGGAACAAACTCAGGCAGTTTTCAATGATCTGCCTTCAGCGAGTGATGCAATGACAGTCACGATCCAAAGGTCATTTCCATTTCACATTCAAATTTCATTTTGGAACAACACACCTTTCAAAACGTGTGCAACATGAGATAACATTAAGGTGAGTTTATCTGTGGACAGGATAACGCTCAGTGGCATGGACAAAACTGGCGTCAGATTAAATATTGCCTTTAGATTCACAAAACAAGTAACTGTCTGTGCAGTTGTCCCAGAAAAGGCTGACCAACACTCCCTTGCTTACCAAACCCAACTTGGGCCAATCCCTTCTCCCAATCTGCCCCATCGCATCCCCTTGACCTATCTAGAGATGCGTACCTGTCAATGTCTGGAAGCAGTGCAGTTTGAATGTGTCTGTCTCCAGCATCTCAATGCCTGAGCTGCCCTGTTCAGGAGACAGCTGGGAGCCGATTGCGAACAGCCTATTTGCAAAGGAGGCAAAGTTGGGAATGCACCTCATTGCTATAAGGGAGAAGTGCTTCTCGAACTTTTCCGCTGAAATGACCCTTATCTTCTGAAGAGTTCAAATTACAGCTTGAGATAGTCAGAAGCAGCAGTGTGAACTGCCTGGCAGCAGTATCAAAATTACTTAAAAATTTATTTGAATTCTGCATGTATTCTACATTCATACTTTGCTATAAAACATTGTACATTGAAAACTTTGGGTGAAATTAACACTCTGGGACTATGTGCCACGTTTACTCACCCCGTGACTATGCATATCCAGCACATCTCATACCATAATTGACAGCAAGAAAAGATCTTAAAGATCATTTAGTTCAATTGCCTTACTTTAAAGATGAAAAAACTTAAGACTCAGAAAAGAGAAGGTGACTTAGGCAAAAAAAATCACACCACTGCCAGCATTACCTACAGCCTAGTCATACTGGATCAATTCTTTTCATGACACAAGAACTGAGGATTTAGAAGGAGGAAGGTAAGCACCGCCGCTCAGGAAGTCTCTGAGCGCAGAACCACACTAATCCAGCCAGCCTATGAGCCAAGTGCGGACCGACAAAATCTAGGAAGGGTTGTGAGACTTACGAGTGGAACATGGAGGCCAGCATGAGCTTCTCATTGGAGGTGAGGCGAGGCCGGCCGAATCGAATGGACACCGGGTAGTTAGCAGGGTTGCCCAGGTACTCCAGCACCTCTTTCCCATCGGCTGTGTACTTGCCGCTCACATCCACACCATTGATGGCCAGCACTGCGTGGCCCACTGCAGAGCCGAGGCTAGGCGTCAACGAAGCCTCAGCTTGGGGATCCCACCAAGGCGACAATGGACCCGGCCCCAACTCCTCACCCCCTCCGCCCCCCGCCCAGAGACACCTGCCCACAACGGCGGCACCGGGCCCCGCCCCCCAGGCCCGAGCCTAACCCACCCCGGATGCCGTCGCGCTGGCCGAAGGCAACCAGCACACGATCGTCATGCAGTTTGAGCAGCAGATCAAGCGGGTAACTGAAAGTTTTCTCAGCCTCGGCCCGTGGCGCGTAGCTGTCCAACTGGTAAATGAGGCCTCCAGCTTTGTTCACCACAAACACACTGAAAATCGCCATTGCTGCCGCCGCTACTGCGGGACTGGCTCCCCCTCCCGGCCCCGCCCCGGAACCGCAGCACAGGACCTGCCCCCGGCGCCCCGGCCGCGCGTTCCCTCTCGACCCGGGAGCGCGGCGCACTGCGGCGCTTGCGCACTTGGAGCACGCCTGGCTGTCAGTAACGCTGGGAAGTTAGCTGTCGGGATCTAGAAAATTGTTTTCCGTCCCTTTTCCCAGGTTTTTAGTGTCAGGAAACAGCAACATGTGACTGCCTCACAACTAGTCGCAAAGCGCAAAAGGTAGGGACAGCCTCGAGCGCCTCCGGCTGCAGGGTAAGCTCGCACTGCCCGCAGCCAGTTCCGGGCCTGAGTCAGGCCTGCCCCTCCCGACTTCCTCCGCGCGGTCCCGCCCCTTACCCCGGAAGCACTCGGTGCAGGCGGAGGTTTCTGGGCTTCTTCGCTAGACGCACTTCCTTTTTGTCCGACATCTTAGGGAGGCGAGGTGGTAGCAGTTGCTCTCCCGGCTTCGCTATGGTGAGAGCTCTGTTTGGGGACAGCCGGCGTGGTTTCGGGAGCCGGCGGTGCCGGCGCGCATTTGGGGCGGCATCGGAGGAGGGCTCCCAGAACTGCCGGGCCGCGTGTCGAGGCGGGCGGGCTATTGCTTCCCCCATGTGCTCCGTCAGTGGAGTCTGGGCGGGGGTTGAGGTGGAGCGCAGGGGTAGGGGGAGCGTGGGGCTGCCTTGAGACCTGGCAGTATTCCCGCTTTTCTTCTGTAGCCGCCCAAGGATGACAAGAAGAAGAAAGATGCCGGAAAGTCGGCCAAGAAAGACAAAGACCCAGTGAACAAGTCTGGGGGCAAGGCCAAAAAGAAGGTAGGAGTCAGTCGCTTGAACGTTGAGGGAGGCTGCGGGCACTCGTACCTTATCGATATATTAAATGACACCTAGCAGATGGCTTGTAAGGTTGTGGGGTCTAGAGTCAGGTTATTACAGCTTATGCTGTTATCAGCATTCTGTTTTTTCGTTATTTGGGGTCATATACGCTGTTTGGCAATTAGATGTGTACAGAGCATTTATTTGGATACGCAGCACGTAGTATTATTTTAGTTGGTTCCGTGGGGCTCAGTCAGTATCCGAAAGTCTCAATAATAGGTTCCCCCCCCCGCCCCCAACCAGATGTGTCTTTGATGCCCTTAACGACAACCAGGGTCTCTTTTTGCTTTGAATTCTGACTTTCTAATTATTTGAATCTTAATTTGCAGAGTTTCTGCAAATTCTGCATTTCATAGATTTCTGCAGGCCAAGGAATAGAGCCACTCTCTCAGTATAGCCGTACAACCAAGTAACAGTTCTTTGAGGCAGGTTGTTCCAGAGGAGGGAAGAACTGGAGCACTGATTTTTTTTTTTTTTTTTTTTGGTGAGCAGAAGTGGTCCAAAGGCAAAGTTCGGGACAAGCTCAATAACCTAGTCTTGTTTGACAAAGCAACATATGACAAACTCTGTAAAGAAGTTCCCAACTATAAGCTTATAACTCCAGCTGTCGTCTCTGAGAGACTGAAGATTCGTGGCTCCCTGGCCAGGGCAGCCTTGCAGGAGCTGCTTAGTAAAGGTGAGAGGGGTGTGTTGTACTGATTTGTATGCTTTTGCACCTTAAATTGGCCTGACCATGCTAGCCATCTTAAATGCAATAGGTGGTTGTTAGTAATGTAATTCTAACATGTTATCTAGGTTATTGGTTAGTGCCCAATAATGGAAACAGTGATTTTCAAGTTATAGTAAAGTGCTGTGAAGGTGGCCATCCCAAGAGCAGGTGGTCAGTCCCTTGTTTTAAAAGGGTAAGTCAAATTAGATTATAACCAAGAAATGTAGGCATGCCTCCTAAACTCATGCTTAAATTCAGCATTTCTCTTTTGGGATGGAATATAAAACAGATATTTCTAGTGTCTTATTAAGTATTTCATAGTACTATTGTGTGAAAATTTTATGCTTGCTTTCTAGGACTTATTAAACTGGTTTCAAAGCACAGAGCTCAAGTAATTTACACCAGAAATACTAAGGGTGGAGATGCTCCAGCTGCTGGTGAAGATGCATGAACAGGTGAGCAAGAACCCAGGGGTTCATGGTGTAGGAAGTATGCATCCCTTCACAAGGCTCTATAGTTCTGATTCTTGAATTTTTTTTTTTTTACAGGTCCCACCAGCTGTATATTTGGAAAAATAAAACTTTATTAAATCAAATAAATGGGTGTGTCTGTTTCCCAAGAAAGGCAGTTACAAAGGATAATAGTAGGTATCGGCTTGTTGATTTGGTTTTGAGCATTATGGTGGTTGAAAATGTATTAGGAAACCATTAACTTTTCTTTTTATGTGACTGCTGTTTGTTTCTTGCTGCGGCTTCAGTTTTGAATTGATGCCTGAAAGGAAATGAAGGGTTAGCAGGACGAAGGGTGAGATCTCCAAGGGGGAGTGGGTTGGGGTCCGGACACTGGGCCCATACCTGGATTGCCAGCGGCGTCCATTATTCCAGACCCGGCCAAAAGAGGGCAGCCAGCCTGCACCGGTACTGGAGTTATGATCAAAGTTGGCCCCAACTCTGTCTGGTGGGAGTTTCTTCAATTTCTGTTTTTCCTCTACAATAAGCAGTTTTACGTGAGTAGGAAGACTTAAAGAACCCATCACCATTTCTGAATTAGTTAACTTACTTTCTTTGAGAAACTCTTCATAGGAGGGTCCTATTTGTTGGTTCCCAGAGCTACAGTCCTCATCTTGGACCATCCAGGGAGGTGTGGCACCTGGAAAAGGAAGACCCTTTAAGCAGAAATGAAAGCACTTAAAAAAAAGTTTTTAACCTTCAGGCTGTTGTGGAACATAGCTAGCTATAAGTTCCTACCTAACTGAAAATTATCAATGTTTGTAAACAAAACCCAGGAATTCTGGACCATGGGAAGTTGAGGGGCCTAGGCTAATTTAAAAGGTGCTGATACTTAATAGCTGTATCAATACAGCAATACATGCCTGAAAAACTACACACATTTAAAGTGTGCAATTTGAAATGTCTGGGATGAAATCACCACCACCATGTATCCTTGTGCCCCTTTAAAATATTTTCTAGCACACTTCCCTTATACCCCTCTTCCCAGGCAGCCACTGGTGTGCTTTCTGTTGCTATAGGTTAGTTTGCGTTTTCCGTAATGTTGTATAAATGGCATATATTACGTACCCTTGTGCACCTTTTAGCATAGTTACTTTGAGGTTTTTGTGTTACGCGTGTTTTCAATCGTTCCTTCGTTATTGAGTATTTTTTGAAGTGTTCATTGGCTGAGGCACATTGGGATTTTTTTTCAACTTTTAAAGAAACTGCCAGACTGTTTTCCAAAGTAGTGATGCCATTTTGCATCCCCACCAGCAGTGCATGAGAGTTCCTGCATATATAAATGGTCAGTCTTTAGCCTTTTTAATTCTTTGGCCACGCCATGTGGCATGTGGTATTGTTCCCTGACCAGGGATTAAATCCGTGCTCCCTGCATTGAGAGTGCGGAGCCTTAACCACTGGACCGCCAAGGAAGTCCTAGTTTCAGCCATTTTGATGAGCATCTTTTTATATGCCTTTACTGAGTGTTGAGAGGCTTTCATATATTGAGAACACACATCCTTCATCAGATGCTGCTTTACTTTGGAAAAACGTTGTTATGCTAAAGTTTGTAATCTTCCATTTTTCAAGCAAAGTACTTTTTCCCTTAGTTGAAATACAAGGAGACGAGTGGCTGTAGCATGGCTAATGCCATGGTGGGCACTGTGTACGGTATAGAGACTTCTCTGGCCCTCAGTTGCAATGAGTTTTATTTTTAAAATTTATTTTATTGAAGTATAGTTGATTTACAATGTGTTAATTTCTGCTGTACAGCAAAGCGACTCAGTTATATATGTATTCTTTTTCATATTCTTTTCCATAATAGTTTATCACAGGATATTAAATATAGTTCCCTCTGCTATACAGTAGGACCTTGTTGTTTATACTCTTTATTTTCACTATTAAGTGTATTATTTTAAAAAACACTTTAACACACACTCATATAGTGGTTGAACAAAAAACCCTTATAAGAATTACCATGTCTGACATTTTCTAAGTTTAAAACACCTTAGATCTGAAAGTTTAAAAAAAAAAAACCGGTAAACAGGTGAATGTACATCTGTTACTTTCCTGAGTTACTCAGACACATTTGACATATGTGTCTTCGATACCCTTCTACCAGTGAAAGGCCTAGAACTCAGGTGTGTCTCAAAGATCCCAAGTTCACTGCTGTATCTTAATCAACTTTATTCTTTAAAAAAAAAAAAAAAGCTGCTTACAGTTTGAGAAACATTGCCATGGGTCTTACCTGAGTGGATGTTACCAATTCCTGGTGTATCCTGTAGTTGGAAATGGGAAAAAATCATAAGAAAGCCAAGAGATGATAGGATACTCATAGCCTAGAGGAAGAAATTTTACTGGAGGTGGATGGAACCACTGCCATGATGCTAGTTCTGCACTGGGTTGATGTTAAATCTTACAGAGCACAGCAAATCACTGAAAGACAGTCTTGCCCTCACCAGACTCAAGGTCTTAGTAGCAGAGATGTCCAAAAATAAGTGCCTACTAGATGTTAGGTAAACGAAACCCTTTTCTTACAGAGCATACATACTACTGGGAAAGAGAAGTATGAATTACACAAATTACATTCACAGCTTTTTACATGGGGCTACATACATTTATAACAGTTTTCCATGAAAAAGTGACATTCAAGCTAAGAGCTGAAGGAAGGTGAGGGTTAAGTAGATGGTGAGGGAAGGAAAGCATATCATTTAAGACAATGGCAATTACATGTTCAAAAGCAAGGAGGAGCACAGTGCAGCTGGAGGATAGAATGTAAGATAGCAGGTGATGCGATTATTTTCTGTTGTGTTTGGGACAAGATTGCATTAGTAGGAATTGTTCCAAGGTGGAATAGAGACCAGCTTGTATTCAGGAGATAAAATAGATAAGACATGCTCATTGAGGGAATGTGAAAAATGAAAGAAAGGAGGAGATAAGAATCTGCATCTACAGTTAATGGAAACACAGGAGTGGTAGGGGTTAGCTTCAGGTACCTGTGGGGTATCTATAAATGTCCCGTATTGAGCTGGAACTGTGGATTCTGCACAGGATGAGATTTAGGAGTTGGTACTTCTATGTGGCAACTGGGGCAGTGTGTGGATAAGATCACCATGGAGGGTGACAAAAAAGTCTAAGAACATGATACTATGGGACAGGGCAGCAAGAGGGAAAAGCCTGCTAAGACAGGAATGGCCAGAATACACAGAAAAGCCAGGAGAGATGGGTGTCCTGGGAACTGAGGGGGCACTGGCCCTTTCCCAACTTTCGTATCCATTGTACCTGATGATGGCCAATGAATGTCAGCGGTTGTCCTGTCTCCATCCAGTCAAGCTCCGGGGCTGGTGGCAGGTCCACATATGAGGGCTGCTGTGAGGTGGAGGCTACTTGGCTGAAAAAGACAAACAGGAGCCAGGCTGGCAGACAAGGTCCTTGAGCCATGAGGATAGCAAAGATGACATTTGTTCCCTTTTCCCAGCCAAAGTTACAGAATGTTCTAAGAGATGTCAGAACTCCCAATAAGAGGTTTCCTAACAGTCTTACCTGTTTGTCCCTTTCCAGCTTCCAGGTGCCGAAGAGCCCTCTTCTGGGTCTGGCACTGTCTGAGGCTGAGTTTGATTCAGGAAAAATAATTGTGTCTAGGATGCTTAAGAATTTGCCTAGGCCATGCTCCCACCCTCCAGAAGTAAACAAATTGACATATTGAGGGTACTGCCCATATCTTGCAAACTTCCCTCCCTCCCTCCCTGCCTCCCTCCCCCAGCCTGGCCCACATCATCTCCACTGACAAAGGCCTGCACCCTGGTGGGCAGGTAAGGGAATTCAAGCCGAGCAGGTAAAGCATGGAGTCCATGAATTCTCATAAGAAGAGCTGGTAGGTGAAATGTTGGACCTGGGAGAAGCAGGAATCAGTGGATTTGGATACTGCTCTGGCTTCTCCGAGGGAAACCAACCTCTAAGACAGACCGAACAACCTCCTGCCGGCTGTGCTCCACCTCACGGATCTGAGCTGCCATCTGTGGGGGAGAGGCTGCTTAGATAGGTACAAAATGGGGGGGGGGGGCCCTGGGTCCTTCAGAGGCCTTTCCTTTAACTCACCTCTTTAATCACTTCATCCTCTCTTTCCTCATAGGAATCCAGACTTTTCACCATGGACTTCTTGAAGCTAAAAAGAAAAAGGGCAAGTCCCGGTCAGTTGTGAAAAGATCCTCAGTAGATCGTTTTTCTCTGAATTTTGGGTAGTGTCAAACTCCCAGAAACAAAATAGTACAATGAACACCCATGTACCTCTCCCCCTGTAAACATTTTGCCATACTGGCTCCAGTTTGCTTATAAACACATTGCCTTTCTGCCAAGAACATGAGACTTAATTCTAAATTTTTCAGCATACATCTCCTGGGAACAGGAACAGCCTATGAAACCATTACCATACTTAAGAAAATCAATTTCCCTTTCTTGATGTCCAAATTGTCCCATATTTGGGACAACAATATATTTGCAGTTGTTTTTATCCTACAATACAAAGGTATCTGAATAACATCAATGCTGCTATCAGCAATAAGACTACTAAGCAAAGCTCAAGGTTTCTTTGCAGTTCATTAGTCCTCAGAAAACCTAAGGGTGTACAGTCAGATTTTTGTGTTCAAATGTTACTTGAATTCTTATTCTTTCATCGTTATCAATTGATACATAATTAATATAACTGTCTTTGTTTGCCTAATTATTATTTTTTGAAAATATAACTATAGAACATTTCTTTGATTTTCACTAAGACTTTGTCTTGAGGACATAACTAAACTGCGTCACCACCCCCCACCCCGATTTGAAGAAGGGTTATTAGTACAGTGAATGTTCAGATACGAACAGTTTGAAGGACTGGAACCAACAGTAACTGACAAAAACCAACTTCCATCTAAATCATCATAAAAATGTTTTAAGTTAAAAAGGGAGGGGGAGAAGGGGGCAAAAGGGGTTTCAGATTGAACAAGATCCTCACATTTCATCTAATACATTCAACCCTGGCCAGCGTATACCAAAATGGAAACTGGATTACTATAATAAAAACTTCTTCTACATCACTCTGTACACACCTGTGTTCCAAGCCCACCCCCATCCCCCTAATGCTTCCAAACTCAACTATTTGATGAAGGAGCTATGTATAAATCTAATCCAGTCTTTGTTATAAGGCTGGTATGTCTGGGTATCAGCTCGGTAAACAAGGCAGCTGAGGTCTTCCAGGTCATCAATAAAATCAAATAACTGATACCATACGTGACAGAGGGGCTGCTGGGATTCACTCTCTTCAGATGTTCTTCGTACATTATACAAACACCTTCCATGCATTCATTCAGATTCATAGCATAAGTTCTGCCTTCTGGCCTCTTGGTAGGCTGTACCAGCAAAATGGTGTGAGACGTGTCGCCAAACTCTTGCTGCAGCCGCTGCCGACTACTCTGCCGACTCCGCCACCGCACACGAGCTTATAGCCTTTTTGCCTAATTTTAATATGTAAAACATTTATGTAGGGGAATGGCTCTATCAAGGTGCCCTGGCAGCCTTGCATGTATCCTTACAGGCAAAGCCTTGAACTGCAGCTTATCAGAGTTTTGGCTGAAGGTCTGCGTGATCCTCCTGGAACACAAGAGGACAGGAGGCCTGAAAGGAACTGCTAGAAGGCCATCTCCCACTCGTCTCCGTATCTCTCATGGGAGACCATTATGAAACAGTTTCTCATCAACTCCCAGTTCTGATGGGGTATGGGACTTTGTGCTCTCAGATTTGAGCTGTAGATATAAAAGCACGTAGCTGCAGTCTAGACTTGGCTCCCCAGCAAAAGTATCGCACAGCTCACACTGCAGTCACCCAGCCCTGTTTGTATCAGTATGGTCCTTTTGGGTGTGTTGGACAACCTGGGAGGCTGGCACTTCGGGCTTACTCTTTTCACTGCTTATGTAACAAACTGCCTGAACCTAAAAGTAGCTCACTGTGGGACTTTCCTGGTGGTCCAGTGGTTAAGAATCCCCCTTCCAATGCAGGGGACTTGGGTTTGATCCCTGGTCGGGGAACTAAGATCCCACATGCTACAGGGCAACTAAGCCCACATGCTGCAACTACTGAGCCCATACGTGCCACAACTAGAGTGCCCACGTGCTCTGGAGCCTGCACGCACCAGAACTAGAGAGAAGCCTGCACGCTGCAATGAAGATCCTGCATGCCGGCACTAAGACCCGATGCAGCCAAATAAAAAGACTAATCTTTTAAAATAATGATTAGGACTTTCCTGGTGGCGCAGTGGTTAAGAATCCGCCTGCCAATGCCGCGGACATGGGTTTGAGCCCTGGTCCGGGAAGATCCCACATGCCGTGGAGCAACTAAGCCACAACTACTGAGCCTGTGCTCTAGAGCCTGTGAGCCACAGCTACTGAAGCCTGTACACCTAAAGCCTGTGCTCCGCAACAAGAGAAGCCACTACAGTGAGAAGCCCGTGCATGCACTGCAATGAACAGTAGCCCCCACCTGCCGCAACTAGAGAAAGTCTGCGCGCAGCAACAAAGACCAGACGCAGCCAAAAATAAATTTTTTTATTAAAAAAAAAAAGATTAAAAAAATAATAAAAGTGGCTCATTGTATCTTTACTGGTCAAATCAGTCAGGCTTGGCCTGGCCTTGTCTTGTGTGAGCTTGAAATTTATAAAGCTCAAAAGTCAAATTATATTTAAATAAAAAGTTCAAAGAGTCCATCCTCATAATTCTCAATTATAACCTTTGCTGCTCAACTATCCTTTATTCACCCACCAAAAACCATATGGAGCTGAGCCAGGGTGTGAGGAGTGAGTGGCCTCAGTTTCTTATCTCCTCCCAGTCTGAACCACAGATTTTAAGGCAAGGTGGTGGGATTTAGGCATTTCTTATTTCCTCATTATTCTCCACATTGGGTAGAAAGAAATAACAAACACCATGTGTTTTCTTAACTTTGGCTTTGGGATCCCCTTGGGTTCCACACTCCACAATCTCAATATGGTCCCAATAAAAGTGATGATGTGAGGCTGCCTGAGTCCTCTTCCTGAGGCAGTCAGGGCTCACTCCCTCTCTGTGCTGTCCAGCTTCCTACAATCCGGTTCCTTGGGGTCCTCCGAGGCCAGTTAAAATAGAGTCTAAAACTATTAAAAGTGGGCACTGGGTGAGCACCAGTTTCTTGCACACTATAAAAAGCATCTTCTGCTCCTAAAGAACCTTAGTAGTTTCTGTGTCATACATTTAAGTAGTTGATTATGGTCAGCTTTAATTATACACTATTCTCTACTGGCTAAATACACTGTAAATCCCCCCCCCCGCAACTAGATTATAAACCTTTAAAGGACTCTGTCATATTTCTTTTGTGTCCAATATGGTGCCTAGGATAATGAGTGCTACAAAGACAATGGTTACTAATGAAGTCCTTACTAAACTTCCCAAGCAGTAGAGGAAGCTCCAGTACCTGACACAGGCCCAGAGAATCCACACTCTGCTACTTCATCATGTGAAGTAGTGACTTACCGTGCATAATCCTGGGGGGAGATCAAAAACTTCTCTTTCATCTGGAACTCAGCCTTGTTCTCCCACCAGAATCTGTTGGTTGCTTTCTTGTGCTCTGGACTGAGAATGGAAAGGACAAGTAATCTCAATGATAGATTGCAGAATATTACACATATATCTAGGCATTAGATAAATAATGCAAACTGACATCTGGGCTTCTGTCTCTGGGCAAGGCTGAGAGAATACTGATAGTAGTCTCTTCAAGATCTCCAGTCTCCCCCTTCCAATAAAAATGTGAGAATCTGAGAGGAAGTGATGGGAGGGAACCTTGATTGAACCTGCCCAGCTGACTTTCCCAGCTAGACCACCAACACCACTGGGACCATGGCAGCCGTAAGCCCGCTACCCTCAAGGCTGGCAAAGCCTACAAGACGACTCAATCAAATCACAAAAGCGTTCTTCCCCTCACCCACCCTAAACCCTCCCTCCCACAAATGTACACGACTGTTGTATGCGGCTCCCGGCCCGGCGCTCACCTGGCCAGATGCTCCAGCAGCCCCCCATGCAGCACGGTCAGGTTTCCGTGGCTCAGGTGTTTCCTCACCTCACAGCCGCAGCACAGGCACCAGCAGCACCGCTCGTGCTCGGGCACGTAACGCTCCACCTGAGCGGCGCGGACGGCCTTGCGGGCGGCCTCCACCTGCCGCGGAGAGGGTACCAAGGGGAAGAGGCTAAGTAGGACCCCGGCGGGACCCCCAGATCCCACCCCCTCGGGCCCTCACAGCCCCGCCCCCATTCCCGCCCCGTCCTGTCCAGGGTTTCCTCCAGCCTCCCGTCCGCACCTGAGGCAGAAGCCGCTCCAAAGCCACCTTCAGCTGCCGCTGGTGCTTGCGACTGTAGACGTGTCCGCGGCCGCAGAAGAAGGTCTGGCGGCAAACAGGGCAGCGCTCCGCCGGCGCCATCTACCCAGGACTGGGGATCCGCGACGCGCAGCCTCTCCTTCGCCGTCTGGTGACCTCTGACCCCTCAGGGGCGGGGCGAACCCAGCGGCCCCAGCGGCCCCCGCGGCCCCCAGCGGCCGGCAGGCGCCACTGCAAGTCCTACTACGGTTGCGCGGGTTTTTCTCTGGGAACCCTCATTGCGCACAAATCCAGCCCGTCGCCAGTACCGCCAAATGCAGTCTGGCTGGAAAAGGTGAGGGGAAGGAGCGCACGCAACAGTTAGGGGGGACCGCGCACGTATCTGGACACTGACAAGGACCCGTAGAGACAATGTAACAAATCGTAACGAGTATTTATAGGGTGCTCAGTGGGAGTCCAGAGCTTTACCTTAACTACCTCAGGTAATCTTCACAATAGCCCTGTGTGGTATCCTGTTATTACTGGCATTTTACAAGCGGGAAACTGAGGCGTGAAGGAGGAGGTAAGTTTGTGGAAGGTTGCACAGGTATAAAGCGGCAGAGGCATTGCCAGCAGGCTGTAGGGAACACAAGCTGAAGGCCTAATCTATGACCTAATCATGCTCATACCCCCCAGGGGTGATCCGAACGTTGCTCCTGGAAAGCTGTAAAGGGAAAGCTATAAAGGGTGCAGAGTCATTGCTGAGGCTTAGCAGACGTGTTTAATCTGTAAACGTGCTAAACTAGTGGAACTTTATTCTCTACAAGCCATTTCTCCCAGAGTCAATAGCCTTCCTGTCTGTCCTGCTCCCTTAGCACCTAAGGTGAATTGCTCCCTCCCAGGGCTGAAATCCCCAGACTGTGATCTCCACCCTAGAACTCCCTCCAAAAAGCCTGGGGCCTGGCCCACACCTTAACTTATAGGATGTGCAAACAGAGCTGGCACAAAGTCCCCAGCTTCCCTTACATTTGTTACCTGTATTGGTGCATTAACCTGGATGGGTGACAATGTCTGTGGGCATATCCAGTCAACTCTACAGAATTCAGACCCAGAAAGTAGCCAGACTCCCCTCCAGACCTTGACTTCCTGACGGAGCGTCCCTTTAGACTCAGGCCTTTGCCAGATGTGATGTATTTTGATGACCTTGCAGTTCTCAGTTCCTTGACCTCTCATCACTCCCCTGGCAGGGGTAATCCTGGACCTTGTCCACCAAAAATTGCTCCTTCTCTGAATTCAAACTCTGAAGTTCTACTCTGACCACCGTCTTCCATCCTCCTGTGTGGACTTACCTTCCATCTGGTCTTTAACTGCAGGGAGACCTCCTTTCCTGAATATGAGTACTCTTATCCATTCACTTGGAAAATTATTCATCGTATGCCAGCTACTGAATGCTTTGCTCTAGGCCAGGTTTAAAAATTTAAAAACCTTTAAAGTGTGGCCTCCTGGTCAGCAGCATCAGCATCCGGGAGCTTGTTAGAAATGCAAATTATTGGGCCCCACCCCAGACCTACTGAATAGGAAACGCCGGAGTGGGTCCCCGGCAATCTGTGGTTTAATGAGCCCTTCAGGTGATTCTGATGCTCAGTCAAGTTTGAGAATCAGTGGTCTAGGTCTGAGGTCCTCTTGACTTCGCTTTACCCATTGGATCCCAGGAATACTTCCACCACACTCTCACGGCAACATATTACTTCACTTGACCTACCAAGACCTCTCATTCTGTCACACCCCAACCATCCCATCTGTTTCCGTCATTTGTCCCAAAGCTGCTTTAGAGTAGTCTATACCATCTGCTTAAACTCCTAACTTTTCAGCCCTCTGCAATTTGGCTTTTGAAACTGTTTCCCTAAAGTCTTCCGTTACTGAGTATTCATTCGGCTGCCATCTGAACTAGACTGTGTGAATGGAACTCAATTTCTTCCTCCTCAGATCATCCTGTTTACATCCTCCCAGTGAATGATAACCACTAAACTAAAGCCTGGAGTTTTGGGGTAAGTTATCTTTTTTTTAACTTATTTTAATTTATTTTTGGCTGTGTTGGGTCTTCGTTTCTGTGTGCAGGCTTTCTCTAGTTGCGGCGAGCGGGGCTACTCTTCGTTGCGGTGCGCGGGCTTCTATTGCAGTGGCTTCTCTTGTTGCGGAGCATGGGCTCTAGGTGCACGGGCTTCACTAATTGTGTCTCGTGGGCTCTAGAGTGCAGCCTCAGTAGTTGTGGCGCACGGGCTTTGTTGCTCCGCGGCCCGTGGGATCTCCCAGACCAGGGAAGGGCTCGAATCGGTGTCCCCTGCATTGGCAGGCAGATTCTTAACCACTGCGCCATCAGGGAAGTCCCTACAGTAAGTTATCTTTGATTCTCCCTTTCACTTAGTCCCCACATCCACCCTGTGCAAGCTGTCTTACTGGATTTCTGAGATGTCTAAAATCTGTTCTCCACCTTTTATACTCATAGACCATACCTTATTTCATTTCCCTACCTTTCTTGCTTAGATTCATGTAAAATCTTTCTGACTGGTTTCCAAGTGTCTGGTGTATTTCATCTCCATTTATCCTCCACACGCTGGTCTTAAGGTAGTCTCTAAAATGACTTTCCTGATTAATTTAATGTCTCTAAGTTGCCTTCAGGAAATATCTAAATTTCACAACATGAATTTTACACTAAGTTTCCTAACCTCCTTTTCAGTCTTGTGTCCCACACTCCCCCACTCCCCCCCCACCCTCCCCCCCACCTATTGCTCCTCCAGGCAATATTCCTGCAGTCCTGTTGCTCCTATGCACTTTAGCATCTCTAGCCCTTGGTTCCCTCTGCCTAGAATTTACTTCTTTCCAGCTCTGCCTGATAAGTTCTTTCTATTATATAGGGCTCTGAAATATGAACTAGAATGGAATTTCCACAAGGCTGGTGACTTTGTCTGGAACATGGTAAGCTCTCAATCTATTCATAAGCTCTTAGATCAATTCATGATTGAATGAATGAAATGTCACCCCTTTTGTGAAGCCTACCAGAGTGGATCCTGCAGAATTAATTTTTCAATTCCAAGGTCCTTTGCTCATCCTCTTGTCATTTTGTTTAGTAGTCTAGTCAGTTGAAAACTCAATAGTTAAAAAGCTCTTCAAGTGCAGGGACTGTGTCTTGATCATACCTGACTCAGTAGAACTAGCAGAAAGGGATCTTCTATAAATATTTGTCAAGTTAAGTTAAAATCATCAAAACTCCAGGCACCCTGGTGTTAACATGCCCATGGGGTGGGAGTCTGTGCTGGGAAGGAGCCTCAGAAGCGTGCAGCTAACAGCCTGCTAATTATGTTGCAGGAAGGGGGACCCCTTCCAGGGCCCAAGAGTGGGCTCTTGTCTAACACTCGGAAATGAATTGTCTGAGGAGATACATGTACTGACGAAGCAAAAGACATTATAGGGAAGGGGCACCCGGGTGGAGAGCAGCAGGGTAAGGGAACCCAGGAGAACTGCTCTGCCATGTGGCTCGCAGTCTCAGGTTTCATGGTAATGGGGTTAGTTTTCAGGGTTGTCTCTGGCCAATCATCTTTCTTGGCCTATATTTGCTCTGACTCAGTGTCCTTCCTGGTGGCGCATGCATCTCTCAGCCAATATGGATTCCAGTGCAAAGGATTCTGAGAGCTTGGTAGGACAATATTATGGGCTGGTGTCTCCTCCCTCCTTTTGGCCCCTCCCAGATTCTCCTGGTTAGTTTTCGGTGGCAGCACCATGTTCCTTATTGGGAACTCCTGTTGTGAGACAACTCATGCAAGTGGTTATCATTGTGCCTGGCCAAGGTGGGTGGTATCAGTCAATGGTTCCCTAACAATTAGAGTATCAAACTACAGAACAGGCTAGTGGATAGCTTTATTTATTTAAAAATTCTAAAAAGTAATTTCTTATTAAAAAAGAAAAAAAAACCTGTACCGAAGCTATAAATAAAAAGGGGGACTTCCTTGGTGGTCCAGTGGCTAAGACTCTGCACTCCCAATGCCTGGGGCCCAGGTTCGATCTCTGGTCAGGGAACTATATCCCACATGCTGCAACTAAGAGTCTGCATGCCGCAACTAAAGATCCTGCGTGCTGCAACTAAGGCCCAGCACAGCCAAATAAATACGTATTTTTTAAATAAATAAATAAATAAATAAAAAGGGATTGGCCTCCATATCTTTTTGCCACCCGCCAATCCCCAAAGATGACTATTACTAATACCTGTTTTCTTTAAGACATTTTCTGTGTGTAGACAAAATACTTATATATATATAAAAACATAGTTTCTGTCACATTTGGAATCATATCGAACATACTGTTCTGCTACTGTTTGTTTTTCTAGCCCTAAAAATGTATTATGAATATCTTTCTACACCAGTACTTTGAGTATGATTTAAATACTGTCTATATCCCCCTGATTCTCAAATGTATTTACGTCTTCAGCTCAGGCTTATCTTCTGAACTCCAGACTTACAACAATTATCAACTTGACGTAACCACCCTGATGTCTCACACATTCTAAACACAAAACTGCTCAAACCTGCTGCTCCTACACAGGCTTCCCCTCCTCATCATTCATCCAATCATTCAAACCAAAAACCTCAGAGTCATTATTTTCTCCTTCTGCATCTAGTCAATACTGTTGACGTGTTGATTCTGCCTCCAAGCTATATCATCAAATCAGGCTGCTTCTCTCCATTTCTACTGCCACCTGGATTCTGCAGTCACCTCCTTACAGGCCTTCCTGCTTCCATGTTTGCCCCCTCCAAGCCACTTTCAATGAGTGGCTAAGCATCATTTAAAAAATAAAAGGGAGTTGGACTTCCCTGGTGGCACAGTGGTTAAGAATCTGCTTTCCAATGCAGGGGACATCACTTCCGTAGAAGAGCTAGCTGTTGTTTTCCAGACCTGGAAAAAAGACCCCGTACTAACTTCTCCTGTGAGAAGTCTTCCCCAGTTCCTCTCACGCTAATTGCCCTCTTCTCTGTGCTTCCAGAGACCAAGGAATCTGCCTGTTAGGGAAGTTACTAGTGACAAGTCCTAGCAAACAGAGCATTCTAACTACCTAATGGGCCCCATGCTAGGCTCTGGGGTTTGGACATGAACGGGACTTATTCCATTGTATTGTCCTCAGTTGTTGCCAAGGTCACTGAGGATGAGTGCCTCTGGGACAGGGACTATATCTTTTTTTTTTTTTTTTTTCTGTGGTACACGGGCCTCTCACTGTTGTGGCCTCTCCTGTTGCGGAGCACAGGCTCCGGATGCGCAGGCTCAGTGGCCATGGCTCACGGGCCCAGCCCCTCCGCGGCATGTGGGATCTTCCCGGACCGGGGCACGAGCCCGTATCCCCTGCATCGGCAGGCGGACTCTCAACCACTGCGCCACCAGGCAAGCCCCAGAGACTATATCTTATACGTTGCTTGGTTTGGTGGTTTTTTACTTCATCAGCCTTAACACCCTAGGAATGGAGCAAATACTCTGTAAGACCGTCTTTACCATCCTGAAATGAACCATACTGATAAAATAACCTACCTACACATACAATTAAAAAAAAAATCAAACTATAATGCTCTAACGGTAATACAACAGAAAAATAAAGGGAGAGAAATGTATAAAAATGTATTCTAGTGGATAAACTATATATATTCTTTTTTATAAATTTATTTATTTTTGGCTGTGTCGGGTCTTCGTTGCTGCACATGGCTGTGGTTGCATCGAGCGGGGGCTACTCTTCGTTGCGGTGCGCGGGCTTCTCATTGAGGTGGCTTCTCTTGTTGTGGAGCACGGGCTTTAGGCACGCGGGCTTCAGTAGTTGTGGCTCACGGGCTGTAGTGCACAGGCTCAGTAGTTGCGGCACACAGGCTTAGTTGCTCCATGGCATGTGAGATCTTCCCAGACCAGGGCTCAAATCCATGTCCCCTGCACTGGCAGGTGGATTTTTAACCACTGCACTGCCAGGGAAGTCCGATAAACTATATTTGAAAATATGAGGCAGTTAAAAATTTGTAGATACTTATTGTGAATAGCTTAAAGAGATGTCATTCAAATGATTATTGAAATACTTAAAAAAATGGATATAGAGCTATTCTGATTTTTTAATTTATTAGTTAATTAGTTTGCGCCAGGTTTTAGCTGTGGCTCGCTGGCTCCTTAGTTGTAGCATGCATGTGGGATCTAGTTCCCTGACCAGGGATCAAACCTGGGCCCCCTGCATTGCGAGTACAGAGTCTTAACCACTGTGCCACCAGGGCAGTCCTGAAAATACTTTTTTCTGTATATTGGCTACCTTGAAATAGCTAAATATTTGTTTATACATGTAGAATCCCGATGATTACAACAAATACAAACAGACCAATACAGGCATGTGGTATTGGTGAGTTAAATACCAGAGCAACTTTGCTGTCAGTGAAGTGATTTTCCGAAATGGCAAACAACTCTCAGAAAACTTCCAAACTAAAAAAAGTACAGTCTTCCTTCACTTTACATAAGAGTTGCATTCCTGGAAAATTTAGTATATAATAAAACAACACAACAAATACTTTCTGCTTAGGTGTAAAACCGGTTTAGGTTCTTGGCTCAGCTCATTCTCAATGGCCTTTGGTATGAGGCTCAGCTCTTTAAGGTGAGACACTGCCTCCTGCACTGACACTTGACACTCCTGGGCCCGCCAATCCCCCACATCCTTGCGGCAACCACAGGGCCAGTGAGAGCCCCTGGCCTAGCGCTGCTTTGGGTGCATATTCCAGAATGAATGCAAAGCTGGAGCGGGTAGAGCAGAGGTGGCTGTGGTGATGGACAAGTGACCAGGGCGAGACTGCATGTCTGTTACCAAAAACGTGCAAACCAAGCAGATGAACCGGGGCCTTTCTTCAAAGGTAAAGATTTTGGTCAGATAGGGCATGGGCCATGCTTTTCAGGAATACCATGTTTCAGAGACTAGGGAGGAGGCAGTCTGATTTTATAGTGCTATAGACTGCAAGGGATTAAGGGCTGAATAAGTGGACAGAAATGAAGGCAACTCCTTAAATAGCTATCACACTCAACTACCTGAGAAGAATAACAGTACCTACTCCTTAAGGCCTCTATATGGATTAAACCTGCAAATGCACTTAGAATGATGTCTGGTCCAATTGTAAGCACTCAATGTTAATATGCCAGACACAGGACTACCCACTTTCCATTGTCCTATTTAGTTCCCAAATCAAATCTGTGTGTACTTTTATTATCCCCAATTTGCATGTAAAAGAAACAAGTTTAGAAATGTTAAGAAAACTGTGCTAAAGAAGATACAGTGAGAGATGACAGGTCATCTGCTGAGTGGGAGCAGAGCGGAGAGTCAGAGATGGAGCAAGATCCCGGCTCCCACTGAGAGTTGCCAAGTGCTGAAAGTAAGTCCAGGCCATTACTAGTCCCCCAGCATCCTGGAGGAAGGAGGCGGGTCCTAACTAGACATCACAAGAAGCAAAGACACAGCTACCATTTATTTAGAACTGGGAGCCAGGTTTGGTATGAAGCACTCTACTCCATCCCCCCCCATCTCCATGCTGGTACAGTACTAAGAAAGAGCCATCAGGGACTTCCCTGGCAGTCCAGTGGTTAAGACTCCACGCTTCCACCGCAGAGGGCGCGGGTTCAATCCCTGGTAGGGGAACTAAGATCCCACATGCCATGCTGTGTGTCCAAAAACAATAAAAATAAATAAAAATTTAAAAAAGAAAGAGCCATCATTAACTCATTTTCCTGATCAAGACACTCAAGCTTGAAGAGCAAGTGGCTGCCTGAGGCAGGCTCTCCTAGAACGAGGATGCAGGAGCAGCCAGCAGCTACATCAGAGCTGAGAGCCAGTGCCCTTCTTGAGACTCACACACCACCCACTGCTACCTCTGGGGAGTAGAGATGCCCAGTCCCCTGGGACAGTGTCTGAGGCTGGAGCCATGTTTCTGTACAGGCCTGTCGTGGGGTGAGGGAAGAGCAGGAGAGGGAATGAGAAGGGTCATCTCAGCCCTGTGGGAAACCCAGCAGGAAGGAACTTCAAGCGCTGTGGAAATGGCCGTGGCATCCCGACACAGCTCTGAATCTCGTTCCTTCCTTACCTGTCCCCCTGGCTTCTCCCTATCTCTCAGGTTTGAGGCTGGCAGCTGGCCTTGCCCTGGACACGGTCTCCTGCAACCAGGGAAGCCACAGCAGCCCAGCTGTGATCTGCAGCCTCTAAGGACAAGTGCTCTGGTTTCTACTGAAACCGGAAGTATCGAAGCCTCTCAGCTCTGAGTTCCCACCCCTCACCCCCAATGCTTAAATGAGGGAAATGAGACTTAAGCCTGGCTACTCCTTTTCTCAAGAAATTCTTTCCTTTCACCTTCCTCACTGCTCCTTCATGGCCTCCTCCAAAGGTCTTTCCTTCAACTGTTCCATAGATGATGTGCTTCCCTAGGCCTCTCCTCTTTGTCCCCAGCTGATTACATCCACTCGTTTGAGTGGGTGGTGATTTGGGGGGGCCTTTTGTGGGCCTGGCTGCTTTATGCTAGCATCTCCCAAGAAAAATGGGACCTAAAGAGGGTTGAGTGTTTTGTTCCTTTGACGAAAGAAGAGCATGGGCTCCCTTTGCTGTGCACCAGGCAACTGCCCCACCCATCAGCTCTGAGGGCATCCCATTTCCAACCTCAGAGCCCGCCTCCGCCCCCACTCCTGCCCCACCCTCGGACCGCAGACACACCAGGATGCTGCAGATAACTTTAATAAGGCATGGGCTGACGGATGGTTTGTGGAACTAAAGGTCGAAGAGGGAGGGCATCACACCTGTAAGGAAAGAAGTCAAAGGGATCTATCTGCCGTTTGCAGACGCTGTTCCCTAAGCCTGGAAAGCTCTCTCACGGCAAATGATCTACTTTTCCTCTCTCAAGGCCCAAATGCCACCTGGTCTCCAGGAAAAGAAAAAGCCCCCTTTGCAGAGAACCTTTTATACCATGCTTCTCACATTGTGTGGTTACCATTTCCCCAGGCTGCGGGGCTGTGAGTAGGGCCAGCTACACCTTAGCTGTTTCTCCATCAGCTCCCAGCGCCTCAGGTTCCGTGCTTGTGCGTGGGGGGACCCCTGAGGCAGGTACCACCCCAGGGTCTCAGAGCACTGCTGTTCTCTCCCCTTCCTACAGAAGGTGCCACCCCCTCCCCATGCCCTGCCCCCCCATGGGACCCTGGCTCCTTCCCTGCACGCTCGGTCTTGGGTCATGTGTGACGAGGCCTCACACCTGGCTGGCTCATACACTGTTGGATAGTTTCCAGCTTAGTGGAGGCCAAGGCGCGGGCCTCCTCTGCAAAGCGGCGGTGTCCCTCATCGGTCAGCTTCCAGAGGCAGGATCGGGGCCGTGTGCTGACGCCACCCTGCATGCTGACCGGCACTTTCTCAAAGCTGTCTCGGAAACAGAGATTGTGACGCACGGTATTCTTCCAGCCTTCAGGAGCCGTCCGGAAAAAGGGGAAATGCTGTCTGCAGACAGGGAGGAATAGTAAGGAGAGGTGTGGTCTCTCTGGGAGATGCCTTACCCTGGAGAATGTTCTCCCCGGGGGCCAGGAGCCTCAGCCCTTCTCTCACGCCGGAGAAGGGCAAGCTGGCCCACGACGCACCCTGCCGACTAAGCATGTGTCAGACCTCCACCTGGCGCAGTGCTTGTGCAGAGCCTCACCTTAAAGACCCAGTTCACTGCCCCCACTCCCTGGCTCGCTTTCCTCCCTCCCTCCGAGGGCTCAGGAGTTTGACTTGCAACAGGAACAGAGCAGAAATCAGGCCAACAAGCTCCTGTCAGAGGAATCCTGGTCAAGGAGGACGCCTCTTGAGGATTAATACTCTGCGACTCTTCTGATAACAGAGGGAAAAGGTCCGAGAAACTCATCATACTCATGGGTACCCGACTCTCAAAGCTCAACGTAAATCCCTTCTCAGCCCGGCTTCCCCAGGTCCTTGGGGAACAGGCTGTGCCAGGCAGTTCAGTCCAAAGGGAAGGCATGTGAGAAACTGTTGGGGAAACCAGATTTTATACTGGGTGTTCTTGAGAGGGAAGATGGGAGAATTTATGACCTGGGTGATTTTATATGTTAAGGAACTAAGGTATAAAAAGGGTGGAGTTTCTTAGATGTGAAAGGGGGTGGGGTGACTATCTTTCTGTCTATGTTAGGTGTGGACACACAGTCGGGGGCAACCCAGAACCAGTGCCTGGGAAAGGAGAAGCATCCTCTCAGACCCAGATGGGGGAACTGAAGCAGCAGCCCAGGGCCTGGAAGGTATCAGAGCAGGGCCCTGCCCCCTCCCTTCGCCCTCCTCACAGGGCCCCCGGCACATACCGAGTGAAACTGTAGATCTGTTGCACGTTGAGGCCACAGGGGGAACTGTTTCTTAATGCCAGTGCAATTAGGTGGAAGTAATTGAGAGGGGGCCGGGACCACAGGCCCCCCTCCTGGCTGTTGGCTTGCCGAAGCCTCCGACTCTGGAGGGGGGCCCTTTTGTGAGGGGACTGGAGAGCCACAGAGGAGCTGTCATCCTGGTCCTCAGCTTCCTTCTCTTCTGTGAGCTAGAGGAGTACAGAGTAGGAACTGGTCCTGACTCCACAGCCTCTACTCCAGGGGTGCAGTGGCAGGAAGGGGTGGTGGTCTAGGGCCACCATCTGGGCTTCTCCCCAACCCAGGGGCACAGCTAATTTCTGAACCCATTAACCCTTCGTTAACCCTAAGAAAACAGAACTCTCTGCTGCATCATCCCTGTGCCCACCCTGCCTACATCCCAAGTCCATCCCACAGCCCAGAAATCCCTACCTCCCAGTTGCTGTTGGAAGAGGCAAACCGCTTCCGAGGGGGATACTGGTCTCCAGAAAGTGATGGTGACTCCACCACTGTGGCCTGTGGGCATTTGGCAAAGTCCTCTTCTTTTGGGGGTGGCTGAGGGGAAGGGACTATGCTTGTCAGATTCTTCTCCTTACTGGGTTCTCGGACCTCCAGCTTTCCAGGGGGGAACACGATGTTGGGGTCTACCCACATCCACAGGTTGGGCTCGAAATCTGGACCTGTGCAGAGAAAAAGGAGATTGAGGGCCATAGGTCATGGGCTTTGGGTGTCCCGCCCAGGCCACAGGGCCATGTCAGAGAACTCACTCCCATCTACTCACCATCTTTATCAGGGTTGGGTTTTTTTTCCAGAGGTAGTTTTGGTGGCTCAACTATTCGGAGTTTATATCTGGCAACTAGCAAAAAGAAAAGAAGAGAGTCAAAACATCCTAGGATTTTCATTTCGGCCCCTTGAAGCTTCCCTGGGAGGTGGCTATGGGCCCTGCCTGGGAAGTTATGATGCCATATTCTACTGGTTTCCCCTTACCTCTCTGACCTTTTCATTCTCCTCTGCATTCTTCTCTTCTCACCCCACATTACGGCCCCTAAACCATCTCATTAATGCCTGTTACTTTAGTCAGTCACCATCTGTAAACTCAAGGCTTACAAATCTTTATCTCTAGCCCAGACTTCTCTGCTAGCCCTTAACTAGAACTGCCCATGGGATAACCCACAGGCATTTTGAACAACATTTCTAAAACTCAACTCCATTTTCCTGCTCTTGTTCCTGCATTCCTTGTTTCAGCATATGGCCCCATCTAGCCAGCTGTCCAGGCTAGATACTTGGAAATCATTCTTTTTTTTTTTTTTTTTTTTTTTTTTGCGGTACGCGGGCCTCTCACTGTTGTGGCCTCTCCCGTTGTGGAGCACAGGCTCCGGACGCGCAGGCGCAGCGGCCTTGGATCACGGGCCCAGCCGCTCCGCGCATGTGGGATCTTCCCGGACCGAGGCACGAACCCGCGTCCCCTGCATCGTCAGGTGGACTCTCAACCACTGCACCACCAGAGAAGCTTTTCTCCATTTTTTAATTGAAGTATAGTTGATTTACAATGTGTTCGTTTCAGGTGTACAGCAAAGTGATTCAGTTTTATACACACACACACACACAAGCATATATATACACATATTCTTTTTCAGATTCTTTTCCATTGTAGGTTATTACAAGATATTGAACATAGTTCCCTGTGCTCTACAGTAGGCCCTTGTTGGTTATCTATTTTATGTACAGTAGTGTGTATCTGTTAATCCCAAACTCCTAATTTATCCCCCCCACGCCCCCCCACCACTTCCCCTTTGATCACCATAAGTTTGTTTTCTGTGTCCGTGAGTGGAAATCATTCTTGACTCCTCTTTCCCGTATAGCTACACCCAATCAATCACCAAGTTCTACCATCCTAGTCCAAGCCTATAACCTAAAAGTTCTGCTTATCTTCTTTTCTTTAACTTACCGTATTGCAGTTTGAGTGATCTTCCCAAAATGTTAATCCAAACATGCCACTCTTCAGTGTAAAACCTTTTGATGGCTTTCCATTGCCTTTGGGCCAAATCTAAATTCCTGAGATAGTCTACAAGGCCCTGGCTCCTCATCAGTGTTGAGTCATTCCTCCCAGGCTCTCCACCCATCTCCAACAGACCACATCTAGATCCTCTGCCTGCCCATAAGCTGTTCCCTTTGCTGGAAACACTCTTCCCTCTTCCTGCTTGCCTAGTTAATTGCTACTCACCCATCAGGTCTCTGTTTAAACATCTCTCTGAAGCAGGCCTTCTCTGACTACCTGTCCAAACACTCCCGTAGCACACATTTTATTGTAACTACCTGCTTAGTGTCTATCTCCAGGTCTGTCTCCTTCACTGCCTGGCGCATGGGAGGAGCTCAACTTAACTGGATGAATGAATACATGGTGGGCTTAGAGTGAATCAGGTATATATTAGAGCTAGCTGCTCGACATGAAGCTGGCTTCTGGTCCAGTTAGGGGGAACTATCATTGTCCCCATGAGTGTCATCATATTACAGATGAATCTAGGTTTTTGTCTGGAAAATGATGATATACTTATTAGAGAGCTCAGTAATTAGAAAGGATGCCCATTACATCGTTAATGTTCAACACAGTATTCTAAAAAGGAAAAAGTAGTAAGAGATATAAGAAAGAAAAAGGCAAAACTATAATTATTTACAGAAAAAAACATAGATTAACAGAAAACCATACAAAATCGATATATAAATTATTAGAACCAATAAGAGTCCAGCAAGTTTGCTGGATATAAGACCAACATACTAATCACCACTGTTCTTCTATACCAGCATTAAGAAACTGGAAAATAATTTTTTTTTTCAGAAAGGTGCTGTTCACAATAGCAACCAAAGTTATAATGTATCTAGGGGTTAACTCATCAAAGAATGGACCTTTATGTGAAAAAGATGTACCTACTACTTAAGGACCTAAAAAACTTCAATAAACAAAGACATATAATACATATTATAAAGATGCCAATTATCCTCAAATTAACCTATACATTTAATGCAGATATTATAACACATAAAGATTGAAAGGTGAGCTTCCCTGGTGGCGCGGTGGTTGAGAGTCTGCCTGCCGATGCAGGGGACACGGGTTTGTGCCCCGGTCCGGGAGGATCCCACATGCCGCGGAGCGGCTGGGCCCGTGAGCCATGGCCGCTGAGCCTGCGCATCCAGAGCCTGTGCTCCGCAACGGGAGAGGCCACAACAGTGAGGGGCCCGCGTACCACAAAAAAAAAAAAAAGATTGAAAGGTTCTGCACAGTAAAACTCACAAGGGAAAAAAAAATCAATAGACAATAAACCAGAAAAAAAATCATTTCCAGAACTCTCAATTCTCTGATAGACAGCTCCTACAAATCAAAAAATAAAAGGCTAAGACAAATCTATACATGGGTAAGATACCAATCAGTATTCAGAAGGAGGGGCTACCTGAAAATGCTGAGCCTTACTAGTAATAGGAACACAATAAAAGAATGATATAATACTTTACATCAAACTGACAAGAATTACAAAAAGAGGTAATACCAAGTGTTGGCAAAGATGCAGTGAAATAGGATCCTTTATTACATCTGAATAGCAACTGGTGCTGGTGAAGAATAATCAGGCAGCACTACAATTTACTGTCTAATCCTGGGTGTGTCTATTCAACTTAATAGAAGAATTTATATACTAATTTTCATTGCTACCATCATCTACCAAATTCTCGGCCACTCCCCCTCATTTAGAGGAATTTAGTTCCTGGCTCACTGTCGCTAGTGCTACTCCTGCCTTAAATCTTGGCTATTTCAATAGATACATAGATGATTATCCTAATAACCTGGGCTCTAGTTTCTTGAACTCCTCTCCTCCCAGAATTCTGCCTTCCATCCTAATGTAGACAGTCCTCACTGTCATAACCTAAACCAATAACTGCAACCTCTCCATAACCTCATTTTTGCACCATGTAAAAATGCACCACCTCCTCTTTCCAGCCATCTCTTTTGATACCAACTGATAACCCCAATCCATTGATCTATGGCTTTGGAGCACTTGTTTGGTTGGATTTAATCAGGGTGTGGTTTGGCCAAGGAAGTGTTCCAAAGCCATAGAGAGCCAAAGGAGTCAACGGTGTATGCAAGAGAGTGAGCCTGTTTGGGGGATTCCAGGTTAGTTACAGAGAGGACATCCCCTCTAACTCTGCTCTTTGAGAGCAGGGGAAGGGTGATGGGATCAACAGATGGGTGATCTCAGTGGGATCAAAGGATAGTGCCCCTGTCCATCTCCCTCCCCTGCTCTCTCTGACACAGGTGGCCCTTCAAGGACAGTGTTTGAAATTTATTTTGGCCTCGGGAGGCTTGTGGGATCTTAGTTTCCTAACCAGGGAGCAGTGAAAGCGCCAAGTCCTAATCATTGGACGGCCAGGGAATTCCTGTCTCCTCTCTTTTCTGTTATAAATTTCTGTCTCTGGACCATTATCATCATTCAAATATGCTGTTAATTCTCTCATCTTGTTAAAAACAAGAACTCCTTTTGTCCCCACTTTCTGTGCCAGGCCACTACTCCATATTTTTGCTTTCCTTTGAGGAAGAACTCCTCGAAAGAATTGCCTATACTTTGTCTCCACTTCCTCTCCCTTCCACACTTAAACCCTTGCCAATCAGTCTTTCTTCTCCACCACTCCACCAAAACCACTATGATCAAGGCTGCACTCCACCAAAACCATATAATCAAGGCTCTGCTTTGCTAAATCCAATAGTCAGCCCACCTCTGACCTGATCTCTCACAGCGGTGTTCCTGTCCTGTGACCACTCCTTCTTTGAAACACTTTCTTCACTTGGTTTCCAGGAAACCACAATACCAGTTTTGATTCTTAATGGTCATTTCCTCAGTTTTTTTTTTGGTTTATCTCCTCTCCAATCTCTTTAGAATGGAATGCCCCCCAGGGCTCATCCTTGGTTCTTCTCTATTCTCACCCCTTAAATGCCAGGCATGTACCAAAGACTCTCAAAATTTATATCTGCATACCTCTCTCCAGAATTGCAGACTTATATATCCACCAGCTTACTCAACATTTCTGCTTGGATATCTAAAAAATATCTCAAACTCAGCATGTTCAGAACAGAACTCCTGATTTTCCTCCCTAAATATCCTATCAGGAGCTTACCCCATCTCACTACAAGAAAACTCCACCCTTGCACTTGACCAGCCAAAAACTCTGGAGGAGTCATCCTCTAATCTCTCTTTTTTACACCACACATCCAATCCATCAAGCGAATCCACCTGGTTCTACCTTCTCACCACATCCTCTGCCACCACCCTGGTGGTGCAGTCTGCCATCAGCTCTTGTCTGGATTACTACAGTAGCCTCCTAACTAGTCTCCTGGCTTCCCAGTCGCTCTACATTTACAGTGTACCCTCAACCCAGCAGCCACAGTGATCTTTTCAGACTATAGATCATTCAGGATCAGCTACATAATTTGCAGGGCCCAGTGCAAAAGGAAAATGTGGGCCTCCTTGTTCAAAAATTATTAAAAATCTTAAGACAGTGATAGCAGGACGTTAAACCAAGTATAGGCACACTATGCAATAGCACAGGTCACTCACTAAGCTGGCGATCATGTCACTCCTCTGTTCCAAACCTTTCAACCATGCTGCATCTTACTTGGAATCAACCCTAACGCCCTCAAAGGGGAAGACGGCTCTTCCTGATCTCCGCTCCACGACCCACACCCTCTGAACTCTCCTCTTCATTTACTTTGATCCAGCCTCACTGGCCTCTTTACCGGTTCCTCCAGACATATTCCTGAGGGTTTCTACACTGGCTATTTTTTCTGCCTGGGAAACTTTTCCTCTAAGTATCCTCCGGCTCACTATCTCACCTCCTTCAACTCTGCTCTTCTCATATGTTCCCGATGAAGACCAACCCTCATATACAATGTTCCCAATGAAGACCAACCCTATTTAAAACTGTAGCTGCCACCACCTCCCAGCCCCCATTCCTGAGCCCTCTTACCATGTCCTTTTTTCCCCCATCTCAGTTATCACCTTATAACATACCATTTATTTATTTGTTTGTTTGTTTATTTATTTATTTTGATGTGGATTGCCTGTGTGGCCCCAGTAGAATGTCAGCTCCATGAAGACTTGTCTGTTTTGTTCATGATGTATCACATGAGTGTCCAGAACAGTGCCTGGCAAATTGGAGGTGCTCAATAAATAGTTCTTGAATCAGTGAAGATACAAGAATGTTTGTCAGCATTACTTATGGTTGCAAAGAGTTCCAATGGAGTTTTGTCTCCATCAGTAAGGAGAATTAAAATGCAAAAAGTAATGTATGCAGATGATAGATTACCACACAGCAATCAGAAATGATGAATCAGGGCTTCCCTGGTGGCGCAGTGGTTGGGAGTCTGCCTGCCGATGCAGGGGACACGGGTTCGTGCCCCGGTCCGGGAAGACCCCACATGCCGCGGAGCGGCTGGGCCCGTGAGCCATGGCCGCTGAGCCTGCGCGACCGGAGCCTGTGCTCCGCAGCGGGAGAGGCCACAACAGTGAGAGGCCCGCGTACCGCAAAAAACAAAAAAAAATGATGAACCAGATTTGCATTTAGCAACTGAAATAACTCTCAAAAACAATTTGAATGAGGGAAAAAAAAGCAATGAGTTTATGTAAATTAAGGTCACCTATAAAAGCAAAATAATGCTAAACAGTTTTCAAAGATACACCTATCTAAAGACATTAAATGGATTAGGGTTGATACATGGGAGTGTGGGAGGTGACAAAAGTGGGTGGGGATTGAATGAGTTAATCCAAGTACTTTGCCCAAACAGATGGCAATCATGTACCATGAATGTAGGAGGTGATTACCTCAAATCTCAACACTTGAGGACCAAACAAAAAAAGTTTTTAAAAGACAACGGTCAACTATCCATTCAGCAAATATTGAGCACCTCTAGGTGTCAGACAATGTATTAAGAGGTGGTATACAGCCACGAACAAAACCGATTTTAAAAAGATTTTAAGAGAAAGATGAACGAAAGGGTAGTGTGCCCCGATGGCGTAGGCGCCACGGAGAAAAGGCCGAGAAGAGGCCTAGAAAGTTCTGGGATTTAGCCGGGGCGGGTGGGGTAGGATTGAAAGGCCGTGTTCAGGCAGGACCCCTGCCCTCCCTGGGCTTTCCATCGAGGCGGGGACTCCATTGCCCGGAAAAAGTTGGGGCGGGGTGGGAGCTCCAGAGCTCAACAAAGGGGGCACGGGGCCCCGAACGCGACATAGTCACGGGGCTCGCGGGGGCGAGTGGCGAGCAAGTCAAAGGCCGGGGAGCTTCCGGCCCGGCGCGCCCACGAGCCTCCGACCCTCCGCGGCGCGCCCATCCCCCACGACCCCCCTCTCGGACACTCACGGTTTTGTTCCGCTAAGGGCAGGTGCGTAGTGGTGAAGGCCAGAAAGCACTCGTTCCCCATGTCCCAGTCCAGCAATCCCGGGACCTGGCCATGGAGGCTGGCCCAGAAGTCTAGGTGCTGGAGCTTCAGCTCCACGATTAGCTAGAGGAGGGAGAGCCGGCACAGGGTGGGAGAGTCTGGAGAGACTGAGGCTGAGGCCTGGGAAGCACTTCCTCAAATACCCGCGCTCTGATTGACTTGGGTCGGAGCCCGCTCAGGTGTGCCCAGTCCAGCTGACACCCTTGCTCTCGAGCCTCCACGGAGTGCTTCTTGCCACGTCTTTCTGCAAGCCCCCCGCCCACGCCGCTTTCATTTGGGAACCTTGGGGGTCCAGAAGGGAGGTACCCCAGCCCCTCTTTCCCCTCTACATTTGCACCAAGCTCTTTTATTTAGTAAATCAGTCTACCATTGAAGAATGATCCCGTGGTGGTATTAATAGCTACTTTCTAGAAGTGTGGAAGATTTCATGGTTTATCCAAGGTTACATCTGTAAGTACATGGTGGAGATAGGATTAAATGGTGATTTTTTTTATAATTTTATTTTTTTGAATGGTGATATTTAAACTTTGTTTTTCATAATTTCAAATTTACAGAAAAGTCCCAAGAATACTATAAAAAAATCCAGTACACCTAAATCCTGTAACTCACCAATTACTAACATTTCATCACATTTTTGCTTTTGTCTCCATGTATGTAAGACATACATTATTTTTTCTGAACTGTTTGAGAGTAATTTGCAGACGTCATGTCCCTTTACCCACAAATACTTCAGTGTGTATTTCCTAAAAACATATTGGTTTACATAATCAGAAACAAGAAAATCATCAAAATTTAACAATGATTCAATACTATGTTTAATATACACATTCTATTCAGATTTCACCAATTGTCCCAATAGTGTCCTTTATTTAATTTGTTTTCTGGTCTAGAATCCAATTCAGGATCATGCAGGGCATTTAATATTTATGTCTCTTTAGTCTCTAATCTGGAGCAGTTTCTCAGACTTTTATTTATTTCTTTATTTTTAATTTTTTTTTTGAATTTTATTTATTTAGTTTTTGTACAGCAGGTTCTTATTAGTTATCTATTTTATACATATTAGAGTATACATGTCAATTCCAATCTCCCAATTCATCCCACCACCCTCCCACCAGACTTTTAAATCTTTCATAACATTTACATTTTTGAAGAGTACAGGCCATTTATTTTGTAGAATGTCCCTAATTTCCCCATAATTAGATTATGTGTTTTTGGCAACAATACCAGAGAAGTGATGTTGTTTCCTTCTTAGTACATCACATCAAGAGGCCCATGATGTCAGTTTGACTCATTATTTGTGGTATCCATCATGTTTCTCAACTGTGAAGTTACCTTTTTTTTCTTTTGTAATTAGTAAGCAATTTGTGGGGAGATACTTTAAAGTGATCTAAAATCCTGTTTCTCATCAAGTTTGGACCCACAGATTCTAGTGTCTATTTACGATTCTTGCCTAAATCAATCATTACTATCATGGACTTGAAATGAGGATTTTTATTTTTTTTATTTTTTTTGACTGTGGGGTCTTAGTTCCCCAACCAGGGATTGAACCCGGGGCCACCATAACGAAAGCACTGAGTCCTAACCACTGGACCACCAGGGAATTCCCTGATTTTTCTAAATCAATCATTCCATCTCCATTTATTTAGTTGACATTCTATTGTAAAGAAGAGCTTTTCCTTATCTCATTTTGTTGATTTGTTATCAGTATGGACTCAAAGGATTGATTCTTTTTTTTTTTTTCAAAGGATTGATTCTTATTTTACAGAGTGGATCATAATTCAGTACTGTAATTATTTGTTTTAATTCTTAAATTGTTCAGATTTGGCCAGAGGGTGGGGCAGCCCCCTCTGGTTCCTTTGTGCATACTGGGTTTTCCCATCAGAGCTCATCCACCCTATACTGTGTTGCCTGTTGCTTGTCTACTAGACCAGATTTTTTAAAAAATAATTTATTTATTTATCTTTGGCTTCGTTGGGTCTTTGTTTCTGCACATGGGCTTTCTCTAGTTGTGGCGAGCGGGGGCTACTCTTCGTTGTGGTGCGCGGGCTTCTCATTGCAGTGGCTTCTCTTGTTGCGGAGCACAGGCTCTAGGCGTGCGGGCTTCAGTAGTTGCAGCACACGGGCTTAGTTGCTCTGTGGCATGTGGGATCTTCCTGGACCAAGGCTCGAATCTGTGTCCGCTGCACTGGCAGGTGGATTCTTACCCACCAAGCCACCAGGAAAGTCCCAACCAGAAATTTTGAGAGTAGTACCTGGTGCATAGGAGACCCTCAATAAATATTGTTTTAACTATGGTGAAAACAACAGCTTTCTTTTAAAAAACTTAGTGGGACTCTACCTTTAATATCAATAATAACAATAACTTTTATGACAATTTACCTAATGATAAAAATAATACGTGTTTGATACATAAAACTTGGAAGTATAGAAAGCACAAAGAAAAAACAGTAAAATAAAAATCATTCTTGTTATCAACCAGAGATAATAATTAATTACATTCTGATGTATATTATTCCAATCTTTTTCCTTATGAGTGTTTCATTTTTGTCTTATAAAAAATGTTATTGTAATGCATCCACTCTTTTGTAGCCCTTTTAATTTATTTTTTATTTTTATTTAGTTTTCCTTTTATTTATTTTTTAGGCTATTACTGTGTGGCATGCGGTATCTTAATTCCCCAACCAGGGATCGAACCTATGCCGCCTGCGTTGGGAGCACAGAGTCTTAACCACTGGAGTGCCAGGGAAGTAAGTCCCCTATAGCCCTTTTTTGGTTGTTGTTGAATTTTATTTTATTTATTTATTTTTTGTATGGCAGGTTCTTATTAGTTATCTATTTTATACATATTAGTGTATATATGTCAATCCCAATCTCCCAGTTCATCACACCCCCACCCCCATAGCCCTTTTAAAATTAGTGTATCGGGCTTCCTTGGTGGCGCAGTGGTTGAGAGTCCGCCTGCCGATGCAGGGGACGCGGGTTCGTGCCCCGGTCCGGGAAGATCCCACATGCCGCAGAGCGGCTGGGCCCGTGAGCCATGGCCGTTGAGCCTGCGCGTCCGGAGCCTGTGCTCCGCAACGGGAGAGGCCACAGCAGTGAGAGGCCCACATACAGCAAAAAAAAAAAAAAAAAAAAGCTAAGTTAGTGTTTGTGGAATTAATAGATACTGTTGTTCTTCTCTTCCATTGCCTCCCTCTCCCGGGCTCCTGGATTACTCTAGAAAGGGATCATTAGACCATTGTTCCAGCATCTTCTAACTCTGTGTCATTTTTTATTGTTTTTGCAGAATTTTTGGCACTTTCCTAGCCCCCGCCTTCTCTTCAGGGGCTTGTTAATTCATTCTTTCGTTCCCTTATTCAACAATATTTATTGAGTATCCACTGTGTCCCAGGCACCGCAAAGGTACTATAGGCCCTTGGGAGCAAAGCGACAACTCCCAGGGAACATAAAGTCTGGTGGGGAGACAAGTGAATAACCACATAAACATAATAATAAACATAGTAATGCTATGAAAGATGGGATAGGAGAACCCAACCTAATGGGGGGTGGAGGTCAGAGAAGGCTTCCCTGGGGAAGCTGGCTTAACTATGCAAATAGAATGGAGTGGGCGTGGGGGCAGTCTTCAGAGCAGCCTGGGCTTAAGGAATAGTCTGTGCAAAGGTGCTGAGGCAAGAGGAAACACAGGACATTAGAAGGCACACGGTGAGAGCCAGAGGGGCAGTTAGGGGAGAGACCCAGGGCTGTCTTTGAAGGTCACCTCAAAGATTTTGGTCTTTACCCTAAGAGCAAGGGAAAGATCCTTAGAAGGAATATATATTGGCGAGGACACAAATGAATGAGGATGAGCCCTCCCCGTCTTTTCCCTCCGTTACCCCGCAGTACCACTCTTGCCCCCTCCGGCAGGGTTCTTCCACCTCTGCTCTCTCCTCCTAGAGACTCTTTCGTCTATTTTCCACTCCCCTTGCCCCCAGCACCCTGTCCTTGGGTCTCACTCTAGTGGCCCTCTGTCTTTTCCTTGTCAGAGCCTCTCTTTCCCCCAGCGCTTCCCCTTGCTCTGCTGGTCCCCACAAAGGCCCTCAGGGCCCCACGTGATGCACCAGCCTCGGCCTCACCCCCACCCCAGGCCCCTGCTTGGGTGGCCTGCTCTGGAAGGTGCAAAACCCACAGCCCAGGTATGAGTCTGAGAACCCTGACTCTTGGATTCTTTTTTATTTTTAATTAGTTTATTTATTTATGGCTGTGTTGGGTCTTCGTTGCTGCTCACGGGCTTTCTCTAGTTGTGTCGAGTGGGAGCTACTCTTCATTGTGGTGCGCGGGCTTCTCATTGCAGTGGCTTCTCTCGTTGTGGAGCACGGGCTCTAGGCACACGGGCATCAGTAGTTGTGGCTCGCGGGCTCAGTAGTTGTGGCTCGCGGGCCCAGTAGTTGTGGCTCACAGGCCTAGTGGCTCCGCGGCATGTGGGATCCTCCCGGACCAGGGCTCAAACCCGTGTCCCCTGCATTGGCAGGAAGATTCTTAACCACTGCACCACCAGGGAAGTCCCTGACTCTTGGATTCTTATCCCATCCACCCCTTCCTGCCTCCTGGGAAAAGCAGCTTTGGGGTTCCAGGGCAGAGAGAGGACTGGGAGCAGCTGCAGCCTGGACACAGATTCTGTAGGTTCACCCCAAAGTGGAGCGCGTTGAAGAGAAACACACACAGCAACATGGCATCAGGTTTTATTGTAGGAACTAATTTCACTGAGGGAAGGAAAAATTCCTGTCTGTCAGGGGTAGGGATTGGTTAAAGAGGTGAAATGGGAGGAAAACCAATTCTGACACGAGTGGGATGAGGGGAATAATAGGGAGTGTTGGGCCAAGGTGAGGCCTTAGGGGACAAGGAGGGGGACAGAGGGAGGAAAGAGCTGCAGTGGAGAGGGGGCAGGGAGGGGAGTCGATGGCACCAGAGGAGCCAGAGCCTGACACCTGTGGCCTGGGAGCAGGCAGTCTTTTCAGCAGAGGAGACAGGAGCAAAAGCAGGGCCCTGAGCTGGGGGAATGGACGGTGCCTTGGACTTCCTGGAGGAGCCTGCTGCCTGGTGCTGTCCTCCTCACTTTTGGGCACCCAGTGCCAGGGCGATGATGAAGCCCAGAACCAGCAGGAACATGGCTACAGAGAGCAGCACCGTGATGACCACCATGCCCCCCGTCCGGGCCATTCCCAGCCCAATAGATTCTGCCTTCCTTCCTGTCAGAAGAGAGGAGGGAGGCCGTTGTGGTCAGGAGCGGCCCCCATCCTTCCCAAGGCTCCCAGCCTAGTCCCTCATCCATTCATCCAACCAGCCATCCCTTCAGTCATTTATTCACCCAACCAACCAACGACTCGTTGGAGGGATCCAGACATCCATCAAAAACACATTTACGAAGCATCTCCTGTGTCAGGCACTGAGGATACAGAAATTAATCAGACACAGTCGCTACCCACAAAGTTTAGCGGTGCGGCCAGATGAGTCAACAGCCACTTAAAATGCCAAGGGCTCAGTGTGAAGATAGAGGTAAGCAAAGGAGCTAAGGGAGCACAGGGAGGGGCAGCTGCGGGATGGGGTGGGAGGGGCCTGGAAAGCCTTTGGGGGCCCTGAGATGTTACTTACGAGGAAGTGTGGACATTGGGACCTCTCTACTGGACTCAGTGGATGCCCCCTTCGTCACTAGGTAGGAAATGCTTTTGTGGTGAGATTTGGGGTAGAGAGGAGAGAATCCTCAGTGAGTATCTGGGACTTAGGGTAAGAGGGAGCCCAGGCCTCCCCCTTCACAGCTATGCCTCCTGTTGTGCCCAGGAGAGGTGCATTCTTGACCCCTTTAGCTGTGCCCTCACTCTCCCCCATGCTGACCACCTCCCACAACCAACACCAAAGTCAGGACCCAGCTTCTCTTCCTGTAGGCCCTCCCACAGATGCCCCAGGCCAGGGTCCGGTACTTACTAGTATTTGGTTCCTGGTACTAGGTTTGTCATCTGGTACGCGCTGAGCCGGGTGACCGTGAAGCCAGACCCACTGTCCACCACGCTCACCAGCTCCCTGCGTCCGCGGCATGGAGGCATCACGAAGCTAGATTTCACCACTGGGCAGGAAATTGGGGCTGTGAGGCAGGGTCAAGTTTCTGGAGACCCCAAGGAGAAGGGCAGTATTTAGAGTATGGGTGGCCCAAGAAGGGGGTCAATAGGAAGGGATGAGTGGGAGGAGGGATGCCGGGTGTCCTGGGAAGGGATCTCTGGGGACTAGGGTATGCCTGGGAGTGGGTAGCAGACCTTTGCTGTCATTGGCTCTCCGGACCATCAGTGTGGCATTGCCCCCTGTGAGGTGACAGGGGGGCAGGGCAACTAGCAGGCTTTCCGTCAGCGCTGGGGACAGCAGACCAGAGAGACTTGAGATGTTGAAGTCGGCTGGGGGGCAAGGAGGGGATACAGGTGAGGATCAATCCCCCTCTCATCAATAGATCTGCCCCCCACCCCTGGAGGTCCTCTCTAAGGATGAAGAGTCCTATTCTGCAGTGCGTTTGCAGAACACGAGTCTTTTGCCTGTGCGACCACCAGGTGGCAGGCTTGAGCTGCAGAAGCTAGGTGCTCCACCAAGCCGCTAGACCCTGGGTGCCAGGAGCGTGCAGAGCCCAACCCCACCCATATCCATAGCCTTGGACTCTTCCCCACACCTCCCTGCCTCCTGGATCTGGGACCAGGAGTGTGCCCTGGGCCCCAGTGACTGATGCCTGGTCACTGCCATCACCAGTCCCCCAACCCCAACTGGCCAGACCAGCCCTCTTTGAGAGCCCTGGAAGGCACAGTCCCTCCTCTCCAGACCCCTGAGCCCCTCCCCACCCCGGCCAGAGATGGTAGAAACCTGCAGCCCTGGGGGCCAGGACAGCCAGCAGAATCAGGATCAAGGACAAGGTCCGGACAGGCAGCGGAGATGCCATAGCTGGGAGCTGTGGTGGGTGCTGGCAGGCTGTGGCTTCCTAAGGAAAGTGCGGCCCTCCCCCGGGGTTTCTGATTTTTGTCCTGGGGGTAGGAGGGGCTAGAGGGGAATCCTGTCCAACCTGCCCCTTGGACCCTACAGCCTCAGGGGAGGCCCCCAGACAGGTTTTTCAGGATGGGGAGCTAACCCTCAGGCCAAGAAGGGGGAGGCCCTGGCTGGATCTTGGTGGTTTAGTCACCTGCAGAGGGGCAGGGTAACTAAGGTGGGGGGAGGAAAACCCCTTCTTCTGGGGCACCCACGTGTAAGGGCGTGAGTGTCCCTGCCTCACGTGCATCTGGAGCCCAGCCTGTAGAGGACCGTTCCCCTCAGGTGGTGCGGGGCTCTTCCTAGGAGGACGACAAGTTCTGAGTTTGCCCTGGTGTGCAGGGAGAGGAGAATAACCCTGAGGGGCTCCTGAAAGGGCCTTGGTTGAGTAGGAATGGGAGAGAAGCTGAGAGAAACAGGTAGTAGGGGGTGGGGGCAGCAGAGCCAGGTGTTCCAGTTCTTGGCATCCACTGAGGCCCAGGCCCTGAGCTCTGCGAGAGGCAGAGGGGTGTGGGTGCCCGGGAGCGCACAGGGCTTCCCATTCTTCTGGAGAGTGGGACCAAGGATGCCGGGGAGGACTTCCAGTGTTTGGAGAGGTGGGCACTGACCCACCCAGTGGGGGTGGGGGTGGGCACAGTCAGCCTTGGTCAGCAACCTTTGTGAACTGTTTGAGAGTAAAGAAGAGAGAGAGGGGTTTCCCTGGCGGCGCAGTGGTTAAGAATCCGCCTGCCAATGCAGGGGACACGGGTTCGAGCCCCGGTCCGGGAAGATCCCACATGCCGCGGAGCAACTAGGCCCGTGCGCCACAACTACTGAGCCCGCGAGCCACAACTACTGAAGCCCGCATGCCTAGAGCCCGTGCTCTGCAACAAGAGAAGCCACCGCACTGAGAAGCCCACACACCACAACAAAGACTAGACCCTGCTCACCGCCACTAGAGAAAGCCCCCACACAGCAACGAAGACCCAATGCAGCCAAAAATAAATAAAATAAATAAATTAAAAATAAATAAATAGGGGCTTCCCTGGTGGCGCAGTGGTTGAGAGTCCGCCTGCTGATGCAGGGGACGTGGGTTCGTGCCCCGGTCCGGGAGGATCCCACATGCCGCGGAGCAGCTGGGCCCATGAACCACGGCCGCTGAGCCTGCGCGTCCGGAGCCTGTGCTCCGCAACGGGAGAGGCCACAACAGTGAGAGGCCCGCGTACCGCAAAAATAATAATAATAATAAATAAATAAATAAATAAGATAAATATAAAAGAAGAGAGACCTGGTAGGAGAAAATGAAAAAGAGACACAACTTCTCTGATGGCACCATCAGCGTTAGAGAGACGTGAAGGAGGAATTGTGAGTGGAGAGAAGACAAGAGGAGAAGGCACCTACCCTGAGCCCCAGGCAGGGTCTTTGGTTGCTCCACACTTACCCTCACAGCCATCCTGGGTGGTAGATGTCATTGGCTACCTTTTGTGGATGTGGAAACTGAGACTCAGCAGCAGAACCACTTGTGGAACATGGAATACTTTGTCAGGAGAGGTCGTAGACCTCCTCAGAGAGTGTTATGTGTGTCTTTCTGCTCCAGGAGCCACTCTAGCTTCCCCAGTCCTGGAAGAGGGCCGGGGTCCTGGTAGGGAAGTAAGGGGCCGGTGGGGTTGTGTCCTTACCCCCACGGTGGGAAGGTAGGCTCAAGGCCTGGGGTGTGAGCAGGCGGTGACAATAAAGATAGGAGTCACGGACCCAAGCAGAGTAGGAGGGCCTCAGACCAGCGCTTCTCCAAATTTAATGTGCATATGAATCACCGGGGATCTTGTTAAGATGCAGTTTCTGATTCAGTGGGTCTGAGATGGAGCCTGAAATTCTGCATTTCTAACGAGCTTCCAGGTAACGTTGATTGATGCTAGTCTGGGAGACCCACACTTTGAGTCGCCAGATGCTCTGTATTGCCTCCCCCCTCCCACACACACGCTCTGGATCCTGTGATGGAGATCAGGAGCAGGTGTTTTTCCCCAGTCTCCCAGGACAGGCTGCCTTTGGGTGAAGAACTGAATCCTGTTTTTCCTGCACCTTGGCTTTTGTCCCCTTTTAGATCAGATCTTATCATCGTTCTACAAACTGAAAGAGGATCTTTTGCACATTGAGAACTTTGGAGAGCGGGAACAGACTAAATGGTGGAATTCCAGGGGTGAAGGATCTTCTTAGTACTCTTCAAATCCCATCACCAACTGGGAGGATGTTTACACTTGGGCTTGGAAGAGACTCCTTCCCATTTCAGTCACAAACCAGGAGGAGAAAGGAGAAGAGGTTGGGTTTATTGCAGAGTGCGTCGTGTTGGGTCCTAAGCCCCCATCCCCATCTGAAATTATGAGGGGGATGGAGTTGGGTAGGGGAGGGCAGAGCTCTGACCAGATTTTAAAAGGATAAGAGGGGCCTGTGCCTTTAAACCCTCCTTTCTCCCTCCAATCCCCCCTCTTCCCCACCCCTGGCCCTCCCCAGGTTTCTGGAGGAGCTGAGAGTTGCGTCTTCTCCCTGCCCTGCCGAGCTGCTCACTGGCTGCTCTGGAGGCTGTGCTTTGCGGTCTCCATGGAAACCATTAGTTGCTAAGCAACTGGAGCATCATCTGTGCTGAGCGCTCGCATCTAATTATCCCATCATAGCAGCCGAGAAGGGTTTGGGGAGCTGAGAGAAGGGGGAGCTCAAGCGCAGGAGCAAGAGGATAACTCTTTTAGCAGAGCAGATTCATTGACAACGCTGAAGTCATTTAAAGCCACAGCACCCTCTTCCTCTGGAGGATTTCCTCATGGCTTGGAGAAAGGGAACCAGGGCCACAAATGCCTGGAGTCTCTCTCTTGGACCCACTCTTTCTAGGCTGTCTCCCCCTTGGATTCTTGATTCTCAACTCACTCAAGTTCCCTCCCCTGCCTCCTTCCTTCCAAATCCCCTAGTCAAGACAACAGACATTTATTAAATACCAGTTATGTCCCTGGAACTGTGCTAAGCACCAGGGATATGAAGGTAAGATAAAATTTTGCCCTCAAGGAGCTCCTGATCTCTCTATTCTGCCACAAAGATTAGCTCCTAAAACAGAACTACTCTTTCTAAACTGTGGTTCTTCCTTTCTTTCTTCCTTCCTTCCTTCCTTCTTTCTTTTTAAATTGAACTATGGTAGTTTTGCAACCAAAAGAGCTCAGATCAGAACTCAGGTCTGTCTGATATACTTAATGGTTCTCCTTCCCTAATGCCACTCTTCTGCTTCCCAGTCAATTAGAACATGTCCCCTTGGTTCCATGGGCATGTCAACTTCTGATGGGGACTACTGTCCTGTTGAGGAGTGATACCATATGACTTTAGGTGAGTTACTTTGAACCTTAATTTTCTCACCTGTAAAATGGGAAGACTCAGTCTTTCCCATCTATCTAGTAAGATATGACAGGTGTAAATATGCTCTAAAATAAAGGTGCAGAAGGAATGTTGAGATCATTGTCAGAATCTGTAGGAGCAGACTGGGGGAAACCCTGGCGACTTGGACCTGGGGGTAAGATGCAGTGCTCACCAAATGTTGTTCTGGTGGGAAATGTCAGAGCCTCTATCCTTGAGATACTAGGCTGGAAAAAGCTGTGAGAGTAAGAAAATCTCAGTTGTTCAGTGATGGAAGACAACTGGATGCTTCTTTATTTTTTTCTAATGTTGCCTATGATACAACCACTTGCCTCAAATCTTCCAGTTTTCTGACCTTGGCTGAGTTACCTACATAACTACTCTGAGCTGCAGTTTCCTCTTCTGTAGAAAGGGTATAAAGTCTGTCTCGCCAGGATACTATGACTATCGCTCAAGCTAATTTATTTAAGAGTGCCTAGCACAGTATCTAGTTCAATTAATATTAATTTAAGTAATTTATCTTATCCTCTCCTTTTTATTAACCCTTGGTGCAGATGAAGACTAGAGGCTCAGAGGCAATAAATAATGTTCCCAAGGTCACAGAGTGAGCAAGAAATGAGGTGGGTTAGAATTCAGAATGTGTTTTCCAACCATGTCATTGAAGCACAGGGAGATGGTTGGGCAGGAAAGTTAGTCTGAGAGGGGAGAGTGATTGAGAGGTGGACAAGCTGCTCCTTGGATACCACAAATGCCACAGGGGTACTAGGCATGCAGGAACTGCCTTCTCACACACTTATTCATTCAGTAAACATTTGTCGAACAACTCCTCTATGGTGGGTACTATGCTAGGTGATGAGATACAGAGATAACAAGACAATTCCTGTTCTCAAGTTGCTGAATTTTGGAGAGTTTCAGAGTTAGCCTTCCTAAGTGGGATATTCCAAAAAGAGGGAACAGCACATGAAAAGGCTCAGAAGTGAATTATCCTGACACCTCCTGGGAACTGTGAACCACACATCTTGGCTAGAAAGAAGTATTAAAGGATGGACCTGGTGAGAGCACTAGCTACCCGGTTGGGTCACCAATGGCTTTGTATGTTATGCTAAGGAGCTTGGTTTTTAGGCTGAAGAAAACAGAAAGCCTTTGAGGTGTTTTACTTGCTTAAAGATCATTCTAGAAACAGTGTGGAGAATGAATTGGCAGTGGGTAAAAGACTGGTACGTTGTGTCAGCGTTGGTCTATGTGGCCAATAGAATATGACAGAAGTGATGGTAGGTCACTTCTGAGAGTAGGTCCTAAAAGGCATTGCATCTTCCTCCTTGCTCTCATGGATTGCTCACCCTGGAGGGCATGGGAGCACCTCCATGGGGAGGTCCACGTGGCAAGGGATTGAGGCCTCCTGCCAAGACCCAGAGAGGAGTTGAGGCCTCCAACCGACAGCCAGTGAATGAGCAAGCTTGGAGGCAGAGCCTGCAGCTCCAGTCAGTCCTTCAGATGACAGTGGCCCAGGTTGGCATCTTCACTGCAACTTCATGAGACACCCGGCTAAGTCTTTCCCAGATTCCTGATTCTCAGAATAAATGTTTGCTTTTATAAGCCACTAAATTTGGGGATAAGCTGTTATGCAGTAATAGATAACTAATACCAATATCTTGGGCAAGTCAGATGAAAATGACATTTGCTCCAGCACAGCGGGGAGGTCTGGGATGAAGAGAGGGAAGGCAGGCGATGGTTAAAATCATAAATGTAGAAAAGAGTCCTTGAAGAGAGTAGTGGAAGGGAAGGACAAGACAACCAAGGACAGGATTCTGGGAAACACAGTGTCTAGAAGACAGATGGAGGGCGAGAAGCTGATGAAGGAGGAATGAGCATTAGGAGGAGAACCAGTAGAAAGTGGATGGAAGGTTTTGCAAAGGAGGTGTCAAACGGTATGAAGGTCAGGATTGAAGGCAAGGACTGATAAATGTCCCTGAGCCTAGCATCTTGAGGGGTGTGTGTGTCCTTCAGGGCAGGTTCCTGCAGGTGAGGGGGGCAGAAGCCAGACTGTGAGAGCCCAGGGATAAGTGGGAGGAGGGAGAGTTAGAACTGTGTAGACTGCTCTTTGAAGAAGCTTGGCTGGGAAGGGAAGGAGACATAACTGGAGGGAATTGGGGGTACAGAAAAGTCTCACCTGTTTTGTTTTTAAAGTTAAAGATACAGGAGAGAGGGAGGTATAATTTATGGGGAGGCTCCTGGAGGAGGGAGAAGATGGGACTCAGATCAGAGGTGGAGGCATTAGCCTTTGGCCGTAGGAATGACACTTTCGAGATAGAGAAGAATGGGGGCAATGGTGCAGAGAAATCTTATACTTTGCGTGGGGGGGGATTGTGTTGGGAAAGGTTGGGGGATGAGAGAAGTAAGTTAAGGGAGCTCCCTCCTGAATGTCTCTGCTTTCCCTGGGAAGTAGGATACTCGGTGGGGAGAAGGGTTTAGGGCCTAGCTGTTGTGGGAGAGGAAGACACAGCTACAAACAGCCCTGAGGAAGGCTGTGTTTGGATGTGACAGCCCAGCTCAGCGTGAGGACTACTGGTCTTCAGGGGCACGGACTGTATTAGTTAGGGTTCTCCAGAGAAACAGCACCAACAGGATATGTATATATAGACAGATTTATTTTAAGGAATTGGCTCATGCAATTGTGGAGGCTTGGCAAATCCAAAATCTGATGGGGGAGGCCGGCAGGCTGGAGACTCAGGAAAAGAGTTGCAGTTTTTGAGTCCAAAGGCAGTCTGTTGGCTGAATTCCTTCCTTCTCATGGGGAGAAGGTGGAGGTCATCTTTGTTCCATTAGGGCCTTCAACTGATTGGATGAGACCCACCCATATTATGGGGTAATCTGCTTTACTCAAAATCTGCTGATTTAAATGTTAATCTCATCCAAAAAACACCTTCACAGAAACATCCAGAATAAAGTTTGACCAGATATCTGGACAACATGGCCCAGTCAGGTTGACACATAAAATTAACCATCCTACTGACCTTGACATTTTGGGAACTGTTCAAATTACTCAACAGCTAGAGCATAGAAATGATAAAACTGTCACATTGTACTGACTCAGGGTTTCCAAGGTAGGGAAAGTTGAGGGTATTGACAAGATTCAAGGGATGGAGAATAAGATCTAGGCTAGTTTTGAGAAGGAGTGATAGATGTGACAGGAAAGAGGACTGAGCGAGCGGGTGTTCAATGAGGCCAAGGTAGAGCAAAGGTGTGGGAGAGGTAGAGGAGCAGGAGTGGGGGCCATCTAGGTGGCTGCTAAGGAGACAAAGCCAAGATCCTCACTGCAGCTGGATGGGATCAAAATGTTGCTGGGAATTCCCTGGCGCTCCAGTGGTTAGGACTTGGCACTTTCACTGCGGAGGGCCTGGGTTCATTCCCTGGTCGGGGAACTAAGATCCCACAAGCCTCACAGTGTAGCCAAAAAAAAAAAAAAAGTTGTGAGGCCGGCAGGAGCTGAAGATCCCAGTGTCTCCAGGGTCCAGGCAGATAACAAAAGTAGTAAAACAAGGTGAGTGAGACTGGGCCAACTAGAAAGACTGTAGCAGCACGAGTTCCATCTACCGGGCCACCCCATGCAGCTCTGGAAGAGTTGCCTTGTGGAAGGTGGGGACCTAGTATGGCCACGCCTCCTCGCTTTTTCACGAGAAGCCAAAAATCTGAATTTTTTGGTAAAATGATCTTATTTTCAAATTTTAAACTAAATATATATTAGGAAAATGCACTTTGTGAGCCAAACAATATACATCTTCGAGGCCAGCTTTGCCCTCGGATCCCCAGCTGTGTCATCTGGGACACGGTGTTGGAAGGATATTTGAGGCTGAGGGCATAGAGGCTGGAGGGTATGGAAGCAGCAAGGGGTTCAGCACAGCCAGGACCCTGGGCAGGAGGGTTTGCTGTGGAAGGGGTGGGGTACAGAAGTGAAGGAGCAATCGCCCTGTGATTTCCACAGACAGGAGGAATCTCCGACAGGGTTTGAGTAGGGAAGTCGCATAATTCAATCTAGTTGTAGAAAAATTACTGAAAGAGTAGGTGGAGGCTTGACTGCGGGGTAATTAAGCCTCTCCTTAGGCTGAAGGAGAGCTAATCCGTACAAGAAATAATGATGGCCCGAATTAATTTATTCAATAAATGTTTATTAAATGCCTTTGCATCAGTCACTGTGCCAAGTGCTGGACATTGATGTGAACGAGACGTTGTTCTCCCTGAAATTATGGTCCAGTGGGAGATAGTGAAGAGGCCACTACTCATTGCATCAGGATTTTAGTAGAAGATGTAATAATAACAGCTGTTATTTACTGAGTGCTTACAACATGCCAGATGCTGTGCTAAATCCTTTATGTATATTTTCTTGCTTGATCCTCATGACAACCTCTGTGATGTGAGTACTGTTATTATTGTCCTCATTTTATTAATGAGGAAACTAAGATCAGACTCGCCAAAGAGGCTCCTCACAGAAGTGGCAACCTACATGGGCTTGGGTAGTCCCTAAGGGCTTCCTGGAGGAAGTGGTGAATAAGTGAAGACCTGAAGTTTGAGTAGGAGTTAGCAGCATGAAGGCAGGGGGGTGGGGGTGGGGGTGGGGGTGGAGAGGGGAAATTGTTCTAGGCTGTAAGGGACCAAGATTAGAGAATGGGCCCATCGGAAGGTTAGAGTGGATTTTGAGGGAGTCACTGGAGGAGTAGCTGGGACCAGATGAAAAGTCTTGTAAGCCCCTTTAAGCACTTTAATTTTTATCCTAAGGCTAAAAGGAAGCCCTTGAAGGGTTTTAAACTGGAGAGTGTCGTGATCAAATTTGTATCTTATAAAGATGGTTTTTGCTGCAATGCAGAGATTGTGCTGGGTGAACAGCTGGGAGGTATTTTGGATGTCTCTGACATGCTGTTGAGATAAGATTCCGGCAAAAGATGACAGAAGAGGAGATTTGGGGGTGATGGTTTGGCTGGGAGGGCTGTGGAGGGGGGTGGAGAGCAGAGTTAAGGGTGCGTCCTGACTGGGGCAGCTGGGTGGACGATGGCACTGTCACTAGCTGGGCATGAGTGGGGGTGGGAGGAGCAGATTTGTGGGAAGGGGATGGAGATCACTGAACTTGCTGAGTTGAGGTGCCTGGAGGACACCCAGGTGGAGGTGTATGGAAGGTGGTCGGATGCCTGATCTGGAGCTCAGGGAGGTTGTCAGCTAGGTGTGACAGCTGCAGCCTTGGAGAGAAGTACAAGCCAAGTAAGAAGACAAGGTCAAGAACAGAGCCTGGGGAACAGCAACACTATGGGCAGAGGAAAAGAGGAGCCTGCAAAGGAGAATGAGAATCTTCCCTAAAAGAAAAAAAAAACGCCAGGAGGGAGTGGTGTCCCAGGTACCCAAAGAAGAATACTTTCAGTTTGTTCCGTAGCAAACTGGTGCTCAGGGAATAAAGAGCCATGATGTGTACTCCTTGGATGTGGCAAGTAGGAGTCATGGAGATTGCTTCAGACTAGGGGAACAGTTGACTGAGCGGGACGGGGCTGGCAAGAGGGTGTTGAAGGCCTGCAGGTCCGGGTGTAGTTGGGCCTGGGATTCGGTGAAGGGGTGGGAGACCGGACAGCCTGGGGAGGGCAGGTGTGAAGGCGGAGGACAAGGAAGATGCTCTTCTTCTCACCCCCGGGGCAGTTCCTTAGACCCTCTTGGGTCCGGAACCTATGATGGGAACAGGGAAGGAGGGTCAGGAGGGGTGTCCTGGATGTTGGTGGCACGTGGAGGAGATGGTGTGAACTGAAGCGGTATCTGGATCAGCCTTCCCTTCAGGCCTGAGGAGGAAGGAGCTCTATCCTCCAATCCCTCTCTACAGGGGTGTGGGGCAGGGACCTGGGATCTCCAGCTTGGTGACAAGGGACGTTTTGCCCCTCTTGGGGCCAGCCATCTCTTACACACACATGGACTTCCTGGTTAGGGAGTGGCTCAAGCCAGTCCCCAGAGAGAACGGGGAGCTGTTTCAAAGTAACCAGGTAGCCACTAGGAGGAACAGCAAGGTATGCTGGAAGGGCACCAGCATCCTCTCGAATCTCATTGCACCCTCGTGGCGGGGAGGGGTGGTCTTGGCATAAATGCCCAGGCCATAACCCCAACCTCTGCCTTCTCCCACCTCCCCAGGTCCTGTTTAATGATGCATCAGATATGGTGCGCTTTGCAAAACTGTTATTTGTATAGAAGCCTTAGGGAGGGGGAGGGAAGCCACGCCCTCCTCTTCCCCCCTCCAGCCACTTTTCTTGCAGAGAAGAGACCTGCAGTCAAATACCAACCCCCAGTCCCTCTGGCTCACTAGCTCAGAGACTTGCAAACCGAGAGCTGCGGGTTCCCCAGCTCCCCACGTGGCCGCGCTGTGTCTCGCAGCATCGCCCGGAAATGGCCTGGCCTCTGAGCTTCCCACACTCCCACGGTCCTCTCCACCTCCGCCCTTCCTCCCCACTCCCCCAGCCCTGAGCTCAGAGCACCCCTTCGCCTCCCACTCAGCCCAGAGTCTGGCCGCTGTGGCGTATTTGCCTCAAGTCTCCCCAACTCTCTGTATCTCTCAGAATAGAATGAGAGCCTCAAACTCGTCCATCCCCCGAAGCCCCCAGCCTGCCCCGACCTGTTCCGAGGGCACAGGAAAAAGCCGGGGAATGGGACACAGGCTCTGCCAGGTAGGCAGAGGGCTAGGAGGAGAGGAAACAGCTTTGGAGCAGATGGGCCTGGCTGCACCCCACTCTGGCTGTTGCTCACCAGCTTGGGACCTTGATCTCAGTTTCCTGCCTGTCCATGGAGGCAATAAACCTACCTCTGACGGCCGTGCTGAGGACGAAATGAAACAAGTCCTGAGATGCCCAACACAGTGTTTGGCACATAGTAGGTGTTTAAAACAAGTTCCCTCCCCTGTCTTCACTTCGGGGCTCTGATGAAGAGGTAGAATGAAAGAAATTAGGGTCGATGGAGAGAGCTCTCCCAGAGTCAAGGAGGCACACTGGGGTGGGAGTACAGCTCTGCTTCACCCAGGGTGAGGGGAGGAGAGGGAGTGCCAGAGCCCTAGGCCCTCCAGTGCTTCTGTCCTCACTGCACTCCTTGGATTGGCCTTGGGACACCCCTGGGAAAGGCATTCCTTGTGGGTGAAGGAGGTCTGGTGGGGAGGACCTGGGGTGGGGGCACTGCCTCTGGGTCTTGAGCAACACCCCTCCCCGCTCCCCCAACTCATAATCCGATTTATATTCCTACTCCCTCCTCTGGACCCGTCGCCATGGCAACAGTTTTCTCAGTTGCACTTCATCAGTTTCTCGGCAAATCTTTTTTTCTTCCCTGTCCGTCTCTCTTTTTCTCCTCTATCGGTCAGCCTTTCTCCATACCCATGGTGCTCACCTTTCCTACTCAACTTCTCTGTTTCTCTCTTGCCCTCCCTTTGTCCCTGCCTGCTTCTGTTCAAAGCTCTCTTTCTACACCTTCCCCCCTCATCTCTCCTTTCTGAAGTCCAAGATCATAGCAACAAGCTAGAGTCTATTGGCTGGACAAGAGCTTGAGTTCCTTCTCACGTCAGGGCAGAAAAGTGGAGAGTCATGGAGGGACACAGTTTGGGTCTCAGTGGGCTCTGCACAGAGGTCAGTGATGCGAGAGTGGATTTAAGGTCTGGTCTATCTATTCAACTCTGATCAGGAAGCAGGGAGTGGGGAGCGGAGAGGGAAAGCAGGATTGGGCAGTTTCTTCTCTAGTCCCAAGTCAGAATCAGCATGACTAGGCTTCCCTGGTGGCGCAGTGGTTAAGAATCTGCCTGCCAATGCAGGGGACATGGGTTCAAGCCCTGGTCCGGGAAGATCCCACATGCCGCGGAGCAACTAAGCCCCTGCGCCACAACTACTGAGCCTGCGCTCTAGATCCCGTGAGCCACAACTACTGAGCCCACGTGCCACAACTACTGAAGCCCGCATGCCTAGAGCCCATGTTCCACAACAAGAGAAGCCACCACAACGAGAAGCCTGCTCACCTCAACGAAGAGTAGCCCCTGCTCACTGCAACTAGAGAAAGCCAGTGCGCAGCAACGAAGACCTAACACAGCCAAAATAAATAAATAAAATAAATAATTTTTTTTTAAAAAAAAGAAGAAGAAGGATCAGCATGGCTCTGGGGGGTCCTGCATGGCACTGTCCTTGGTTCACTTCCCAACTCACCCTCAGAGAACTTGCTGCATGCCTACAGCTCCCACTGGCAAACACATACATTTGCTCTGACTTCTCTCTCTCCAAATTCCAGTCAAGTCTCTCTACCTCCTCACTGGTCATAACCATGGGGATGCCTACCATCCTGCCTACTTCAACAACTCTAAACATGAACCCATCTTCCGCAAAGCATCAGCCCTCTTTACAGTACTTCCCCGTCACTACCCAGGGTAAAAACCTCAGTGCCGCCTGCGACTCCTCTCTCTCTGTCATTCTCCATATGTAGCTAGAGTCCAAGGGGTATCAACTCTTCTTCTGAAGAGGAGAATATGCTTTTATCCCTTTGCCCTTTCATCTATACCACCTGAGACTGAGTGCCCAGCAAGTCATTCGAGGCTCACACTATAGTCCCATCCTCACCTGGGCCTCCTAGAAAGGTAGTCTCCTCTAAGAAAACAAACCCATCTGAAACATGATTTTCTTCTCACCCTCTTTTTCTACTTGATTTATCGAGCACCCATTATGTATTAGGCTCTTCATATATGTCATCTCATTTAAGTTTCACAGTCATCTATGAAGTAGGTATTACCCCATTTTACAGGAGAAGGAATTGATGCTCAGAGTGGTTAAAGTAAGTTGTCCAAGTTCTACAGCTAGTAAGCAATAGAGCTAGGACTCAAGTCCAGATCTGTGGAGTTCCACAGTCAGTGCTTTGTTTTATTTTGTTGCTATACTAGTCTGCTTCCATGTGACTCTTCTAGTCAAAAACATTCTGGTTCTGAGCCTTCTGACTTTCTTATTCTTCCACTAGGCTTTTGAGGTTCATTATGATCTGACCCATTCCACCTACAACACCATGTATCTTGCTACTTCTCAATATGCCATAGATTGGTATCAACCAGGAACATTCGTGTGCTTTAGGGTTTGCCCTCATCTCTGTCCTCTTAAATATTTCTATTAATAGTGTATATGAAAATATAGTATCACATTTCACAGATATAAGCCTGGAGGGTTAGTAAACACTTTGAGAGACAGGGTAAGGATCCAAAACTCAGCTCCATGTATATAGAATGGTAGGAAAACCTAAGAAGATGAAATGGTTAGAGATCTGTGTAAGATCTCAGCAACACACACAGACTAGACATGTCTTAGAAGCAGTTCAGGTAAAATAGAATTGGGGTATTAGTAAGTTCAGTCTGAGTCATCAGCATAACATGGTTGCCAAAAGTGCGTCCAATTTTAAGCCATATTACTAGAGATATAGTTTTTGGAATAAAGGAGAGGATTGATAGTCCTGCTTTACTCTAAGTTGGCCACTTGTCTTCGTAGGCATAACTTTAGTGAACGGGGAATGTTTAGGCTAGAGAAGAGGAGAAGAGTCTGGAGTCATCAAAGCTCAGATATGTGAAGG